CTCGATGGACACTCATATAGTGTTAGGTACAGTCAAATCAAGTGCAATCTTATCTTGATCATCTTATTTCCTAGTATCCGTTATACTTTTTGAATACTCAATATATCTATAAAACTTTATACTATACGAACAAACTTCATGAATGCTCTGCGATTATGGTGAATGAGGTAACACATCCCAACCTAATGCAATACTTATTGACGTCTTTGTAAAGATGTGTGCGGTTTGGCATTACCATGATGAAACACCACACCTTTACGATAAAAAGTTCTGGGCGTTTCAATAAATTTTAAAATTTAAATTTTTCCCGCCTATTCTGAAAGCGTTAACGTCAGCAATAACTAAAATATTATTAAAATGGTCATAAAATTTAAAACGAAAAAATCTTTGTATTATCTCTTATCTTAAATACTTAATAAAATATTTGCTTGTTTAAAGTTAGTTAGCGGCAAAATCCGCAGGGCAATGAGATCGTTGCCGCAAGGACATTTTGGCAAGTCCACTGTTTTCTATGACGACGGCACTATCTTAATTCAGTTATCTCACAAGGAATTATCAATATTTGCTATTTGTACACAACCTTGAGATGCTACTTTTTATCGCACCTTATTGTAACTGACTTAAACTTGTAATCTTATGGATTCTTTAAAAGTCTTCGTTGTTACTTACATAAATTCTAGAACTATTGTGACAATTTAGGTGACCAATCGTTAATATATTTTATTCCGTTGTTGTGCGCTTTTCGGCTTTACTTCTTCTTATTGCATATACTTTAGTAAAAATCCTATTATTCTAATTACTTGTTTATTACGAGGGTAGAGTTTGAGAAAACGTAGTGTACCTACTTGAGATTGTTTACTAGTTGGGTCACGTCGTTGTGAGTTGTCGCGCTCGACTTCTACCAGTCTACCAACAGCAACACCCTCTACGTTCACTATCTACTATATTTTTGGAAGTGATCTTTCATACTCGTATTTACAATAATAGTATATACGCATATATTATATTCTGTGCGAGACACCGGAGCCAAACAACAAATAATGCATATTTTTTATCCACTTTTAAGTAGTTCAAGACGTTATTTTATCTAGTGGTCAAATTATAAATTGTAGATATCGATACACTTGAACTTGCCTTTATCTATTATTTATAATAACATTGTTATCATACATAAAACATGTTAACCGATACTTATTGTTATTAGTAGGTACCTACTGTTCCCTCAAAGTTATTATTTTTACTTTACCTACATTCCAACAAAATGCACTGTAAAATGTTTGCTTACGTCTTAGAATGAAATTTTTTTGATGCAATATATATAAAATAAAACAGAAATATTAATTGAAACTGTTTGTACCACAGTATTACTACGTAGTTTGTACTCAAGCATTCGGTTTCATATAACAAAAAATTACCAAGGATAGGAAATGAAACTATTTTTCCGGATTTAATTCGCGTATATTTGTTTTTTCAAACAAACCAACAAGTTGGACTGTGAGTGCGGTCTCTCTTATATTGGACAAACGAAGCCAAGTATTTGTGCCCGCATAAAAGAACATATAGCTGATGTCAAACACCGTCGCGTAAACAAGTCTGAAGTCTGCGAGCATGCCATGGATAAACCTACACATTCAGTGGAGTTTGACAAACCCCAGGTCCTTGCAAAACAAGTCCGTTATCTACCCAGGATGCTGCGAGAGGCCATTGAAATAAAAAAACATCCTAATTTCCCAGGGAAGATGGTTTCTCCGTACCTTAGAGCAGTGTTGGGCGTTAATCAATTAAATTCAATCAATAATTCAATCAGATTAATAAATCAATTGATTTTAATTTCAATTGATTTTAATTGCAATTGATTTTAATTGCAATTGATTTTAATTGCAATTGATTTTAATTGCAATTGATTTTAATTGCAATTGATTTCAATTGAATTGATTTTAATTGCAATTAAATTTGCAAGTCCCCCACCGGGCCCCCTAACCTGCCCCCAGTGGGTCCCCAGCCGAGTACCGCAACTAACAATTGATCAATCGTTAATTGCTGTTTCGCAATTGACAATTAATCAATTGTCAATGTTTAATTGCCAGAACAATTAAATTTTGCCCAACGCTGCCTTAGAGCATATAGGACAGGAGGCGCTATTAGAGTTTTTTATTTGGGGGGGGGGGGGGGGGAGTACTACAAGCAAACAGGTACACTCAAATGCAAAATTGAATTGTTTCACTATGGTCTCAGACAAACAAAAGTCTAAAACACTAGCTTATTTTTGCACAGATAAAACACACATTAATGTCATGTCTGTACACAGAATAGGCCTATAAAAATAAATCGATTCTCATGAATATACTAGAGACGGAAAGTTATCGACGGCGACGTGACGGTGTCGATATGTATTACGTACTGGTTAATCATGTATATGAAAAATGTAATTCCACTCTTGGCATGACTGGATGTAGTGAATTTATTTTTCCAATTTTGTGTGTACTGTAACAGTGGTATTGTTTTACTGGTATTTGCCACAGGAGATTGCCCATTGACTTACCAATAAATTGATGACAATAAATACAATCCAAAGTCTAATCCAAAAACCGCGAAAAAATATCCGGAGTTTTTTTTTTTCAGTTTATGGCTTTTCGCGGTCAGCGTTGGAGCCAACGACAAGCATGTACAAACGTAGTGACATACATAGAAATATAAAAAAAACTAAAACATTTAATTTAAACTGTAAAGTAATGACTTTACAGTATATATAGCACTATTGCTTAATTTTGTTTGCCATGATTTAAAAGCCTACAAATTCAGCTTCTACTGGAAATAACAAAATGCACCACATTTAGCTTCTAGTGAAAACCACTTGAACACAAGAGTGATGGAGTAGCCTTAATGTCAAGATTAATTAATTTCATAGTATTATGTTGAATTTTATACGAATTCACTTCAAGTAATAAGAGTTGTGCAGATTATAGGCACAGCTATTTTCACATTTACAAATATTGTAAATGTGAAAATAGCTGTGTCTCTCTGTTGGTGGTATCGATACTTTTCTTATAGCACGTCATAACTGCTGTAAGAAATGTATCGAAGATTCGAATTTTTAGATGCCAACTAGAAGTAAACTCAAAGTTTCATAATCTCGAAAACCGATTTATAACAAAACCGTTATGCTTTCAGGGGATTTTGGTTGCTTATTACAAAGAAAAGATTATGTTAGTTTGTTTTGTAATATTCCTAAAATAACCTAAAAAAGTACATTTGAATTAACAAAAACATATTAATCTACTAATTACTACTGCAGTCTTATGACTGTTTGGGATTTTTCATCAGAGGAAGTACGTATTTATATGAGTATTTACTCCATACAGTAAAACGAATACAACAATATTTTGTTAATTATTTGTTACTAACATTTATTAAAAAGTCATTTTAAAAATAAGATTAACATTAAATCAATTCTACAGTTTTTGTTCTAAATTTGAATATTTCAATCGCTTGTGGTTTGATAATTTAAATTGACGTAACGGGTCTCTTTCTGTCTTTTGCGCATGTCTTGTGTAGGATAAGGACAGTTAGCTATTTGGTTATTTTTATTGCTTTTGTAATTTATTTGTATTGTAGGTATGTACTCGTATATGTACTTTTTATTTTTTTGTTACAGCACGGCATGATTTATGATGATTTATATTAAACAATTACATATTATTTTCATTATTTATAATTTATTACATTATTATTTAATATACAATATGACGAAGAAATCAATTTGAATAAACTTCGTTACACAATCTGTCGATAAAAATAGGAGCTAAAAGAGCGCGAGCTTCTGTATAACGAAAAAACAGCGTCCATTAAGTACTGCATTTTTGTGTCTATAGTTGCCTGTTAGTAAATAGGGAACTTCATAGGCATGCTTATGTCAATTGTTCGAATGTTTTCAAATATTTTTTATGCAGTCGATAAATTGAATCAATGTGATCATTGTGAAAAAAATGTCATAAAATAGAAAATTAGCAATTAATGTAAAAAAATAGGCTTATGTATGGAATGTAATTTCACCCTTGGCTAGACTGGATGCAGCAGACATTTTTTTGCAAGTTTGTATGGCGCAAGACGACATGTTTCGTGGAGTACTTGACGCGGTGAATTCGATAATACAAATGAAAAAAAACATCGATTTGAAAGTAGTGTTTATTGTGCGATAGTAGTTTTGTACCTTGACAGAGGGGATTGCCTATCGGTGACGCCTCCAGTCCTATATACTCTAACTTCTGTACCACCAGTTTGGGATCCAGTGTTTCCTCTGATGAAAAATCCCAAACAGTCATAAGACTGCAGTAGTAATTAGTACAGTAATATGTTTTAGTTTGTTCTAATTTCCATTATTAAATAATAATAAATTGAACTTAATAAAAAATCATTCAATAAAATAATTTGTAAAACTGAATGTAGCGTAAATTGGAATGTTTTCTTTGTAAAATTAAAAATAAGGTATTTAATTAATAACTATTGTAACTATAGTGAAAAAATAGGGTGGTTTGCATTAATATTAGACACAACTGGTTGAAGACTGTACCACCTCAGTCAACCGTGGCCATGGGACCTGTAAAGGCCCGAAACGTCGGTTTGTTTGAAAAAACAAATATACGCGATTTAAATCCGGAAAAATAATTTCATTTCCTATGTGTAACAATCGCTCAAATAACATTATCTCTAATTTCTCCTATTTAAAATTTCCAATATTATTTCTTACACAAATTATGAAATATTGTTATTGAAAAGCAATATAACAGTATTAATTGTTTTAAGTTTCGAGGAATCTGCACTTATCTCGGATTGAATCAAATTAAAGATCAGTATTCGAAATATTTGAACTACAGACGTTGAAGAAAGTATTACAATTATTTAAATTTGCATCTTGCTTTATTTCTAATCCTAAATTCAAAGTGTCTGTAAATCTCCGTCCATGTGGAAAGAGGAAAAGTTTTTTTAAATCTTTTGCCCTTTCAAGACTTACGCGAAGATAGCCCACGTGCCTTAAGAGCACGTTAGCAGTTATTATTAGTCTTAGTACCCATACAACTTTATGTGGTCTGTGCATGCAACGAAAGACGGCAAAATTGTAGAAATAGCGTTATTTATACATTCAGTATTAAAATATTTATGTATGACAATAGAGCACATTACCCTGCAATTATTTCCTCGTTATGCGTGATGATGATCCTTGTATAAAGCGCGCTGTGCGCGAGCGCTGGTCGCACCAGTACGATGGATTCTCGCAAGTGGTTGGCAGTGTTTGCGGCGCTTGCGCTTACCGCCAGCGCCCATGCGCGACCCGGCAACGATATAGCAGACTCTCCCAAACAACAATGTGAGAATTATTTATTTTCTATAATTTACGTGTTTATAAACATTAATTGCAATATCTACGTAGCTTGAAGGTAAGTTACCTCTTTATTTTAATCGGATAAGGGACAAAAAAATATAATACGTACCTACATAATAGTTATAAGTTTTTTTTAACATAATAAAAGTGTATAAAGGTGACAAATAGGCAGAGATAGATAAAGTTGGAAAAGCAAAACTTTTATTTTAACAATAGATACCTAAGGAAATTCTCAATACTAATGCAAAGAAACAGTGCGCAGTGCCAGTAGTTATTTTTTCCTTTACTGTGCAAGTACCACGGTTGTTGAATTAATTGTGTCAAATTTACCAGAATGGATAACTAGGTGTTAAGAAAGTTATTACGTAGTAACGTCAATGCATAGTTACAAAATTATTTTTAAGTATGCATAACATTGAAAATAAAAAATGTATAGATTAACAACAGACGTCAACGTCGTATACTTTGTATATAATACAATATTATATAAATGTACACTTCGTATTATAATATGTACAATGTCTAAGAGAAGAAAAAGTGACTAAATCAATACCTAATCTTATTCTTGGATTAACAGACTATTAAAAACACGATAAACTCAAGCCACAAACCTCGATGCTAACGCGTGTTTCCCAGCCAGAATTACCGGTTATACAACACGATTCTCACAAAAGTTAGGGCAATTACTATTGCTTCGAAAATTCCTACCGTTTAATTTGTTCCTAATAGTGATTTAAATACATTTCAACGATTTACTATTATTGCGTTTGAAAATTAAGTAAATTAGAGGTCAAACTTTCTGATATACTGCAAATGAAATAGTAATTAGTACCACTGTTGCAGGACCTAATTAATGCTTACTAGCGTCAAGCAATCATACGTGGAGAAACAATATCGATTATTCGCATAGTTCACGCATGAAACTTCTTATTCCTTTACGACATAAGGTTCACATTTGTTTATTAGAAAATGCAATGAAAACATGCTTTTCTCTTTTAGGATTCTCTGAACGTAATGGCAACCAACTTGTCGTTTTGTGGTCGCATACAATCGCGCAACTAAGGGGACTTAAGCTGTACATAGGATAATAATAATAAATAATAATAAATCTTTATTGAGTCAATACAATTGTAAAGTATCTTAAAATAACGTGACATTTATTATACGAGGAACATTTTAAGACGGATTTAGGATACAGAAAAATCTTTTATTTCATTAGTTTTTTTATACTAAGTAACTGGAGAAACAAATCGTGCGCCTAACGTAGGCGACACGTCTGTCCTTAACAGTTGCAGTGCCACTCAGCACTTTAATTCACAAAGATCTGAGGGGCACTGCCACTGCGCCCGACACCCTGAGGCATAAGTTGGCAAATCCCATGTGCCTGTAATTTCACCAGTGCCCTTACCCTTCGAAATCGGAATGCAGTAACGCTCACATTACTGTTTGGAGGTACTTCCCTGGACGAACTCTAATAATATAAAGAGAGTATTTGACAGGTAAAAAGTTGGAGTACATTAATAAAAAAAAAAGAACATACCTAATGCATTATTCGCAGATTTCTCTTAATTTTTTTTTATAACATCAATTGACGGGACGAACAAGTTGTGCACCTGATGGTAAGCTACACGCCTGTCCACAACAGTTACAGTGCCACTCAGAGCTTTAAATTGCAAAGATCTGAGGGGCACTACCACTACGCCCGTCACCCTGAGACATAAGTTAACGAGTCCGATGTGCCTGTAATTTCACCAGCGCCCTTACCCTAAAACCGAAACCCAGCTGATGGCTAATGCTGACATTTGCGTAAAATCGAATCCTTACAATTATACGAATTGTTCAATATAAGCCTTGTATGCCCAAATTATAATTTAACCTTACGGATCCCGCATGATATTCCATTCGATCGTTATGCTATGGTAGCTGTAGCGACACTTCGTACGTCAACGCTGTTACACGGGTAATTATTTCTACCATTGGTGTTCAAACCGCATGACTCGACTTTACAAATTATCTTCAGTTTCCACACACTATCGACTAAACGACGGAAAAAAAAACTGCATTTAGCCATTTGTTAATCTCAGAAAGGACGAGATCATTAAGCATTACTTTCTCCTTCTCCAGATTCATCCGGAGAAACGGCCTGTAGGCTATACAGAATTTTCTCTAGCTCTTGCAGCAAAAAAAGCGGAGATGTGCAGTAGATTCATTCGTTACTACCATATTTACTGCCTCCGTGGCCGAACGGTTACCACGCTGGACTGCCACGCAGAGGTCCCGGGTTCGATTCCCGGAATGGTCCACAATTATTTTTCTAGTGACTTGAGTGTAATTCGTGGTTGTCTATGTGTGTGTCCATGGCACCCACCATACAGGGTTTCCCAATGTTCTTGTGTACGCAAAAAAGTGGGGTTTCCCTAGTGCGGAGCTATGAGTGTGTGCGTTATTTATTTATTAATTTGTTATATTGTCATCGAAATTTACAGTTAACAGCACGTCAAGCTATACCTACACTTATGTTCGAATACCGCCTCCTATGCAACGGTACAAGATCCGTCAATTAGCTTCATGTGTTGCCTTCTGTACATGATCGTAATGTAGGCCACGTTTAACTTTTTTGAACCAAGTTGTGAACCAGCTACGCTTCACCGTTCAACAATTGTCTACACGTTGTCGCTCATTGTAAGCCGATATTAATCTTCATCCTTTTAAATAGACACTAAATGGATAAAGTACGTTTTGTTTGGTTATTCAATTGACGTGAATAGTTATCCAAAAGGACGTGACAAATAGGTTACTGTTGCATTACGTACAATAGGAACGCGAACGTACAATTCTTTCTTCACGATAATTATAAGTGACTCAATGTGGAAAAACTTAACTTCCTTGTCAGCAAGATAAATTAGAACTGGTTGATAATGATAATAGCCATGCCGATTGCACAATCAGTGGCGCAAAGTCTCCTAGGCATAAGAATAATAAACGCGTCAAAGAAATAAAGAAAATGTATTTTCTCAACATTATTATCACCATAACGATTCTGTTTACAGCGAATGAAGTTATCAGCAGCAAGGACGTGCACGTAAAACCCGATGAGAGTCAAGATATTAAAAGTACATTGGCAACAGCCAATACTGAGACAACAGTTGTTGCTGCGACTACTTCTACAGAAAAAGTGGAAGAAACGAAAAATGCAGAGGTGACGAAACCGGTGAACGAACAGTTTCCACATGCTGTTCTCTTCGGAGGCACTTGTGGTGGGTCTATCATCAGCGCTAAATGGATTCTAACGGCTGCGCATTGGTGAGCCAAACATAATTTTCTTTACGTGTACACAAGATTACAAATTACAGTGAGGTCTTGAGATGCAAGTCAAAGCCGAAATTTTTTTATAAGTTGTTTTATTAGAGATTGTCATTAATTAGCCAAGTAGATAGTTAAATAATTTCCTGATTTTTGAAAAGAACGTCAAAATTCATTTCTTTTGAGTATTTTCACAAATATATATTATTATATATATATAATATCATATAAATAAAACATCACTTAAATGCCCCCGTAGCCGAACGGATGTTGGTCTGCCACGCAGCGTCCCGTGTTCGATTCCCGGGCCGGTAGAAATATTTGTACGGCGTACATTTATTTATGTGTGGGTGTAATTTGTGGTTGTCTATTTGTGTGTCCATGGCAACCGCGATACAGGGTTTCCAGGGGAAATGAGTGTTTGCGTTATTATTAAAATCACGATAGGTATACAATAAAAGAAATATTGCAAGTACATAAAACTCCTTCGGGCAAAAAACATTCGAGGTATAAGTAATTCACAAATACAACCTACACACTCGAACACGCATTAAGTGTTGACGATGCGAGTCACGGCTCATTAAGTAGGTACAATATAGTTCCGGGTTAATACGCTTGATACATTATTAAATGAAGCACAGAATTATAAATATAATATTTAAAATACTAGTGAATAGCGACATCTCTCGCCAGGACTGGTAGCTGTAAAGGTACTAACTGGGTGATAAATCTTTCATAGATTTCTCATAGATGGCGCTACGACTAAAAAGTCGTTGAAAAACCAAAAACAAAGGCACGACGCAAGCACATAAAAAAATTCGTGAGGTCCGCTGGTTCGTTTCGTTGCTTAGTTGGTATAGCGTCTGCCACGGTATGCTAGAAGGTGTCGGTTCGAATCCGACCGGATCGAAGGAATTTTTTCTGAGTGTTCGATCTTTGTATTAATAATTATAACAAACTAGTGGAGTAATTTCACAAAAAATAATTGAATATCAATTCAATAAAAATTTAAAACATAGAATCATTGATTTTTTTTTTTTGAGAATTTGCATAATAAAAATGCTGACAAGATTGTAACTTACATAATGTATAAGCGCTTATTTTCTAAACTAACATTGAGTTAAATAATTTAAAATATCTGAAAGTTTTTTGTTAGCTCGATTATTTTATCATTAAAAGTGATAACCTCGACTTGACCTGTGTTGATGATCTCAAGTTCAATGTCAAACTATGTTACAATTCTCAAAATAGGTAAGCAACTTTTGAACCCTGGTTATTTTCTCCCACCAGAAATATGGATGTAAAATAAAGGTCAAGTTCAGAGCAACGAACAAGTAGGTCCGTTGGTTTTACCGATAATGACAAAGTGCAAAATTTATAATAGGGAAAAATAAAGTCGATACAACCTCAAATTAAATGGCAAATGGTTGATTCCGCATAACATTGAGAGTGAAATCACTTTCGAAAAAATATATAGTAAAATTAAAGATATACACTGATAATAAACGGTGTATTTAACGGATTCCTAAACATTCTCACGATAGAAAAAAAACACAAACTTACTTCGAAATTTCACAAGAAAACCGCTGTATTCCATTGGTACTATACATACTCGTATACCAATGTTTTTATTTATGTCAACTGAACTAAATAGAACACGTATATATAGTATACGATATACAGGTTTTTCAACAAGAACTTTGTTTTGTAAATCAAAATAAAACAATAAATTTATTGTATTAAAAAAGTAAGGTTATGTATGCAAATTATGCAATTATATTTCGTGACATTATGCGATCGGGAAATTTGGTTTGAAATAAATTCATTGTTTCGGTGGCTGTGTGACTTGTGCCGTTGGCATTGGGTCGTTTTTTTCGAAAATTCGGCTGGAAATGCGGTTACGGTCACTGGATTACACTATCGAGAGATGTTAACAACTCAATTTTGGCCTATTATTGATGATATGGATATCACTAACATGTGGTTTTAACAAAACGGTGAAAACCCCTTTTTGAAATGACTTTGAATTCGTTTGTAAAAAAAATAAATTCTGAAATAAATCCTGTTGCCGCTGGGCTCAAGCAAAATGAACTATTTTAGTACGAGTAATATTTGAATTCGAGTTGAGGTAGTATCGACTCTTTAATACCTGGTAACAAAGCCTTTGCGTGTTGAACATAATAAATTACGTTTGTCCATTTTGAAGTGGCTACGTATTTGCATGCCAATGACGCTCATCACACTTTAAAAATACTCGTCAATCGTTTTCTCAAGGTTTCATGCTAAGGCATGAGTAAGAACGCAAACAGAAACATCACAATAAACTTTTTGTTGTTTCTTGCATTAGGGGAGAGTTGCGTAATAAGTCAGTACTTACCAAGCCTGACTTAATTGTAGGCCTTATTGTTTAGGGGCTCAGTAGCCCCTAAACAATAAGGCCTACAATTAAGTCAGGCTTGGTGTATAAAAACAAAATTTATAGTCGTATGTAGGTAATTTATTTGTCTACACTCATAGTATATAGCATAATTATCATTAACAAATACAAAAGGCAGTTGTTGCAAAATTACCAAAAATGACAAAACGGGGTATTATCAAACTGGTCTGATAATATCGGGTAGTATAGCATTCAAAAAGCATCAATTCCAAAGTTTATTGGAATTCATTAAATGTTACACATAGGTGGCACTATAAGTTTCCGGAAATGGCCACTTACACAAACAATACTTAAAAAGTAATTACAACATTTGAAAATGGAACTCTTTGGCTGTAGAATATAGTTTGTTTCATCTGGCTGTCCCTTATTTTTTAATATCGTGGCGTCATTTTAGAAATTGGTTGTCTACATCACCATGGATTTAACTCGTGAAAATTTTCGTAGTATGATTTTCTACGACTTTAAGTGTAATTTAACAACTCAGCGGAGCTTCGCTCAGCTTCAAACTGCTTATGGCGATGAAGCACCATGCAAGACGACTATTTATAGCTGGTTTGCAGAATTCAAACGCGGTCGTGTGAATCTCAGTGACGAATTTCGTGATGGTCGCCCGTGCACTGCTGTGAACACCAAAAACATCGATGCTGTGCGCCGTATGATTAAAACAGACAGGCATGTGACATACCATGATATTCGAGCATCTTTAGGCGTAGGCATGAGTCAAATACAATCAATACTACATAAACATTTGGGTGTGAAAAAGCTGTGCTCTCGATGGATCCCACACAATTCGACTGGGGCTCAAAAAACGGATCGCGTCACTTGGTGCAATGCCATGCTTACCAGATTCAACGAAGGGGTGTCAAATTTGGTGTGGGACATAGTAACAGGTGACGAAACATGGGTTTATAGTTACGATCCCAAAACAAAGCAGCAACCGAGCGTATGGGTCTTTCGAGATGAGCCGAAACCTACCAAATTGGCACGTGTGCAAAGTGCATCTAAGCGGATGATTGTTTCTTTTTTTTATAAAACTGAACACGTGGCTACTGTTGCTTTGGAGAATCGTTGTACCGTGAATAGTGATTGGTACGCGGCCATTTGTTGGCCGGAAGTTATTGACAAACTCCGTAAAAAAAATAGTAAACGCCGCATCAACTTGCACCACGATAATGCCAGTTCTCACACGGCCAGACAGACAAATGAATTTTTGAAGGTGAACACGTTAGCCTTATGAGCCATCCCGCGTACAGTCTCGACCTGAAACCTTGTGACTTTTATTTATTTCCAAAAATTAAGAACCAGTTACGCGGTCAACGATTTTCATCACTTTGAGAGGCTATCGAAGAGTATCAAAAACATGTTTCAGAGATTGTCACGGAGGTGTGGCATAAATGTTTTCAAAATTGGTTCATTCGTATGAAAAAGAGCATTAACGCTAACGGAGAATATTTTGAGAAACAATAAATTCATTTCTGACCATTTATAATATTTTTTTCTTATTCATTCCGGAAACTTATAGTGCGCCACACGTATATAACATAAATACAAAAACAAATTTTTAAATAGGCATATAGAGTCTAGAATATTATCTCTTACATCAATATAATCTAATACTAAAATGTTAACAATAAATAAAGTTCAACAAATAAATAGGTGAATAACATTTGTCTTCCTTGTACTTATTTTCTTAAAGAATTGGCAGACTTGGTAGCTCTTTGAATGAAAGTGAACATGTTTACGTCTTCAGTTTTAAAAATATTTCACTACAGTCGGTACATTCTTTCGATATTTGGTAGCTTTCTTTTTCCCTTTGAAATTTTTGCTAATCTTTATTATTTCGACATTTTTTGTATGTACGCGTTTTCCACGAACTTATCATTCTCACTATCAGTCTACGTTGTTGTTCGAAACTTTCCTCTTAGCAGGTTATTCTTTGACTTCATTTGTTCTTTTCTACTCCCTTTTCCATGCATGTTTGCCAAATAAAATTTTCGTACTTTACAATTCCGTGCTCATATCTGATAATACCGTACTCTAAGCGCGGAATTGTCAAACACAGTCACTTTGCTTTCAAACCACAAAATAATATAAAAAATAAAACTATTTTCGAAATGATTTTGCAGATCAATTATACAATATTTTCACCATTCAAATATGTTAAAACAAATACTAAAAATAAAAATGTAATGTAGCTTACCTTTTACCGAAAACACACGTAAAATTACATTGATTATGTGAGAAAACTCGTTACGGGAAATGATCGTTAAGGATAAAATGATAGCGTGCATGCGGGGAGTAATACGTGTCAGGCTATGTATGATAATGGAGCACTGTAAAGTCTAAGTAGCGTGTTATTGAGATATACAGAGACGCGAAATTATCAGCCGCGTGGTAATACCCAACTCTCCCCTATCTGTTCCTTAGATGGTAATTAAAAAACAACAGAAACAGTTAACGCTAACAAATTAAACAGAAACTTTACCAAAACAGGATGAACTACCTTTATACATACATACAATAAAATTGCTTTCCTGGAAATGGAACGGAACTATATACCAGGTAACAACAATAAGTCAAGGTCAGATGTTTCAATTCTATGTGAGCACTAGGTCGGAACCTGAAAATTGACAATGGTGAACCGATTAATGCCTTGAACCAACTTGTATCACTCACTATCACTTTAGTAGTAACGAGGATGACACAAACAGAAATTTAATAAATTGACTTTTTGTGTACCTACTTTATGACACACAGCGTCTACGTACTTATAGGTACTAAAAATGGATATCCACTTGACAGAAATTAGTCAGCCAAAAATAATATCAAAATCCAAAATTAGGGAAAAGGTCGGTGGTGGTCATCCATGCGATATCTGCAATAGGACATAGGTGCTGTGAATGATTCTTGATGAAGATTAAACGTTTAATTACGCAGCACAATATTCTCGAGTGGGCGCTACGTGCTGGCGGGGACTAACAAGTCGGATGATGATACCGGTTTCGAGCGGCGCGTCAAGCGGATTATCCTTCACCCTAAGTTCTCTGTGGGCCCTTACTGGCTTGATGCGGACCATTTCGACATTAAACAGGTGCAGTATACTTTACGTATTAAAAGTATTCCTGAGCATCCCACTTACAAAGTCCCATTTCGCTTTTCTGTAGTAGGTATACCTATGTACAAAATAACAAATTATACGTGAAGTATTTTCAGACAGAAAACACCATTCTGCTCTATTTTCTTACCCACATTTGAATGCTGCGTCATTTTTCGATAAATAAATATTAGGTTTTTAAAAATATCTTCTAACGACATAGTTGACCGGTACACAATGCCTTATGACAGTAAGTCCGCCATTTTGCTTGCTGTAGCTTTAGTGTATTGTATAATAAAGCTTAAATAAATAAATCACAGGTAGCAGCTGACTGGGACTTTTTGTTAGCTGAACTGGAGGAACCATTGCCGCTAGACGGCAAAAAGATAGCCGCAGTGGACATTAATGACCAGTCAGAGGTGCCAGAGGGTCTAGCCGTCGGCTACGCTGGCTATGGCGCTGAACACCATGGCGTAAGTACTTTCAAAATACTTTTCATCACACTTGCACGTAAATAGCATAATTGCATGCAGACTAATTTGACCTTAGTGCTGCACATAAAACCCTAGGGCCTTCTTTCTTCTCAAAACCGTCCATGGTTGTTTACGAAAATTACGAATTCGAATCTCGACTCCGAAATCCAGCAGGGTAGCCTATCACAAACCCGAATTTTTTTTCCGAAATAACGTTTGTTCGAATTTTCATATCACCGAAATCCGAATTATAACGAAACCGTTGTTCTTTTAGGACATGTTGGATCGCAAAGACACGATTAAATTCGGTTAGGTTAGGTTAAGCTGGGTTTGTGAAGGGGCGGAAAGGGTCACTCACCTACCGACTGGTACAGTAGGTGCTCTCGGGGCATGGATGCTTCAGGAGGTACAAGGTCGCTGGGAGAGAGCCGACCCCTCTCTGCCACCAGTGTGGCTGCGCCGAAGATACGGCGCAGCACACGTTGGCAGAGTGCCCAGAGTGGGCAGAGGAGCGGGCGGCAATGGTCGCCGTGGTGGGGCACGGTCCCTCGTTACCGGCCGTTGTCAAGTCTATGATCGGGAACGAGAGATCGTGTGAGGTGGTGAGCTCCTTCTGTGAGGTCGTCATAGCACGGAAGGAGACGGCGGAGCGGATCAGAGAGGATGACGTCCTCGCTGACCGCGCCGGCGGAAGAGGACAGGGTGGAAGCTCCGCGCGGAAATGCGCCTTTTCCCGCCGTAAAGAACTCGGGTGACGAATCGGGGATTATTCGTCGCCCGTAACATCCAGTCCCAAGAGGGTAGAGGGACTTCCAAGTATTCCAGGAAGCCGCCCCCAGGTGCACCAGTGCACAGAAAAAAAGGAATTCTATTAATAAGAAAGAGCAATTTCTCAAAATATTTGCTAATTCTGAAAGAATATTTATTAAAAGTAATAAAATATTGTCATTACAAAAATACTGTTTATCTTTATCTTATACAATTTTACTCTTAACTTTATTCTACTTTTAGACAAATACGTTCACTTCAAGATTTTATTTCATTTCTAATCAATTATTGGACATTACTTACATCAAGAAATTTTTACCTCTTACATCAAATTTAAATAATCTTAAATGAATTCAAAATTTCTTGGGTGTATTTTAAGAAAATATATTCTTAGACAAAAAAGAAGTATTTTGCTATTCAGATTAATATTCTAAATTCTAGAGTATATTTTTAAAGCAACATTTCGTTGCGTTCTCATAGTCAATGTTGTTGTGACATGTCACCGAAGGCGCACGCGGTTACGATTACTTTTACTTGTCCTTGTAATCATAAAAAGCATAAACAGTCATTTTTCCAAAGAAACAATACGTAGTATCTCTTTGTAGTTTGTTAGTGTGTTCTTTGTAGTCATAATTTAAGAAATTTGGTTTCAGCATGAAATCAAATTACATTTGTAACAAGCACAAATTTAACATGCAATTAGTTCCATCGCGCCACTGCTAGATGGCATTAGTTGTACTCTGAATCGCGCTATCGTTTTGTTAACTTCAATAGTACAAGGCATCTCATATGTTTTCAATTGGTATTGCTCTATACTGCTATAGCATTTATATGTCACAGAACGGCAGTCAAGTATGAGAGACATTTCCGTCATATTTCTGCTTTAAGGTGTTAGCATTGTACCATTTGTAACATTTCACACTAGTGAAACATACCTACTGTTGGATCCGTAACCCTGTAAATTTACCCTTTTTGATAATATACACCTTTGTACACTGAAGTCACCGTCTTAATTCGTCGTACTACGTAACCCCATCGTTGACCAGCGCTACACACTTAAATATAGAAAACATAAATCTTCAGTCAAATAATTAAGTACCTTTCAATTTTTCATTCTTTTTTTTTCAAGTCAAAATCAGAAATTTCTAATAACTAATTAATGTTTTGTTGAATCTAGAGTAGCTTTATGACTTAAGTAAATTAATTTGCTCTTGGATTAAATATTTCTGTCTTATAACTAAAATACACTTTTGAGACGTTTTTTTACTATTATCTCGTAATTATTCTCTAGCGTCTATAGGGAGAGGATCATTTTGTTGGATTTAATAAAATTGTTTTCATAAAAAGAATTTTGTTTTTTTCTAAGTACTCTGTTTTTACCGTGTGGCAAGGGCCACTCGAGAGGGTTCGCGCGCCAAACAACTGTCGCGAACGTCCGCTCTTTGGGCGTCGTGGGTAATGGGCAACCGGTACCATACATATCCCCAACTAAGATAAAATGGAACACCCCGGAGTTTTAGTGGGTAAGCTTCCTTTCTGGAAGAGTCCCATCACATGACGTGGTATGCGTAACGCATTTCTCCGGGTAAAAAAAAGGTTAAGTTAGGTTTAAAAGAAAAAACATTTTCCTATCAAAATTACTTTCGAGGTTATGAAAATTCAAGTAAACGTTATTTCTGGAAAATGTCATTTCGGACTACTGATCGTTCAACAGCCCGCAGTCTTCGACTCCTAATAGGGTCTCGTTCGTAATTCCTTATTTACCGCCCTTAATACACAATGTACTATAATGCAAACTTGTGTCTAAAACCACACATTTCAATGCCCAGTTAAAAAATCGCATCTCAGGAACAACATATTTCAGGATTCACGCATTTCCATTACTTAGTACGTTGTTTTGTAAATTGTTTAGTAAAATACTTATTAAACAGTGGAAAGTTAATAAGGCATTTATTAGGACTTTTAGCTTGCTTTGATATATGAATATTACGGTGAAAGTGATTTTCTAAGAAAGTGTTCGAAAATGTTTAAACGTGTTTGTATTGTTAGTATTTAAAGCATGTAAATAAATCATAAAATGAAAAACAACACTTATCTCGTTAAGGCGACTTGGCACATACTCGTATTACTTGTAAACTGAAAGGGTTAATCTTTATAATGTTCGTTACATTTTTCAATTAAGATTCCATGATAAAAATGCGAAAGACTCGGGTCTCGGAAGATGCTAAACTGTTTGCAAAAAAAATACAGACATTCCAATTCCACTACTAACCCGTCACATCGTCTCTCACAGCCGCTAAATCTGTACTAAAATAAGACATTCAAGTTAGTCTTACTCATTTAATGTTTCATCATGTATTCACTATATGCTCAAATCTAAATAAAACATAAATCACCAGAAATAAACAATACGCTGATCTTGATGACTTTGCTGTCAAAATAATTAGTTCTAAAGGCGATCGCATTGCCTTAATTAAACTGGGCTTTTAATAAATGTGATTGATGATGGTGTGTTCCCTAACCACATGAAGCAAAGCAGTTACTCCTCTTTTTAAATTTGGTATTAATTCAGACCCTACAAATTATAGATCTATGTACTTCAATACTACCGACACTTTATAGTAAAATAATAAAAAGAAATATTCTTAATCAGTAAAGAATGTGCAGTTTAATGTCTCGTAAACAATTTAGTTTCACTTAAGGAATGCTCAGCGAAGGATGCTGGTGTAGAGTAGATGAAATATTTATTATGTATTTCATACATGGGAACACTCACATCATGCTTGTCCTTGTATTCTGCGACCTTTCCAAGGCGTTTGGTTGTATGTACCATGATGTGAACTTCGCCGTTTTAGTGTGGCCTTTTTAAATCGTCAGAGTGATAGTGTTCAAAAGGTCGATGCGAACGGTATGAGATCATCAAGATCTACAATGAGAATAGGCACCCCTCAAGGGTCAATTCTAGGTGCATTTTAATTGTTTTTACACCAGAAATGGAGCTAAATGATATTTCATTTCATTCATGAAAAGTAAAAATGACTTCACATTTTTTACTGCGGACTATAAAAAACCTTTACTCCAAAACGTAGCTTAGATTTAAAAGTGAGTTGAGATTCACTATTAAAAATTACTGAACATAATTATTTAAACCTTATTAGCTTGTTTTCACAAATTATCACAAGTTTTTCAAAATAGAAAATTGTTCATGAGACTACACTACCTTTATCTACTAGAGTATGACTACTGTAACTACTAAGTACTCTAATTAGGGTAGGTTCGTACTCTGATGGTACTAAGTGAAGGTAAATTGCAGGACTACATGCGCCACGATATGCACGGCATGGACCTAGAGGTGCAGGCGGACAGCGCGTGTCAGGAGGCTTTAGTGCAGTATGAGCCTAAAACCATGCTCTGCACTAAGGGCCGAGCGCCAAGATACGATTCAGCTTGCAATGTAAGTTTAATTACCTACAGTTGCACTCTGGGAAAATCATTGCATCTAATAGTAATTAATAATCCCTGTCACGTGATTTCACATCTCCTAGGAAGTAATTACTGAAAAATCTGTGTTTGAAAAGTTTTTCTTTTTCGATGTCCCTATACGTACAAATATAAATATATTTTTTAGTTCAAGATACGTGTTTTTTAAAACAGTTTGCAATTATTTACTTTGCAATAAAACATAATAATCAAAGCTCATAACAAGCCTTCGCTTCACGCCGTGTTCCATAACAATCCTTGTAAGTTTATTGAACCCCATTTCAGGGCGACAGCGGCAGTGGTCTCGTAGCGAATGGCAAACTCTATGGCGTGGCGTCGTGGGTGCAAGACGACGCGCACCGATGTTTCAACGGCGCGCTCGTGGTCTTCTCGCGTGTTTCCGCCGTACGCGACTGGATCCGGCAGGTTACCAAGATATAAACAATAGTACGAAGATACGACGAGCGACCATTATTCCTCACGTCTCACTGCAAATCATCTCTTTGGACGCAGCTATTGGACAATGGGTCAAACATTGTTTCTTCATACTTTGTCACAAAACCAACTGTTCATCGCTTAGGACTACTACAGGAAACATTTCCACTATGACCAAGTTAAAAGTTGTGAAAATACGTTCTAATTAATGCCCTTATTGTTCTTGCGCATCCGTTCATATCAAGGAATTGAGACCACTATTCTGTGTATTCCGTCGACTATATATCGCAACCCTCATTGAAGAATGGCATAAGCGGAGTTACGTCAAAAACGTTTAGTGTGGGTTATTTTTTCTGTATCTAATGGAGCAATAAACATGTTTGACGTAACTCTACTTACGCCATTCTTCCATGAGGGGTGCAATATGTATATATCCAAGTATAACAACAGCCTAGACAGTCCGGTCGGTCACGATACTTAAAATTGTCAAAACATATTATATATTATTTTAATACGTTTTCATGTGACAGTACATAACGAATTTCGAACACATTTCTTTTAATAACAGTACATAACTGCGGCAAGTTAGTTAACTCCTTAACAATCAATTACGCTAAGATGTGCATTTCCCTATACATAATTTTTAATTAGCAGCATAATTATTGTATATAACCTGTCTAGAATGGGTTCCCTACTTGAGATAGAATGCCGTTTGATAGAACATTAATTGCTCGAATACGTTGGATCGATTGTCCATTTGATCGTGAGCTCTAAGGTTTGCCACATCGATGTATCAAAATCTCGAAAGTACATTTGCTATAACGACCAACAGCCAAAAAAGTGATTTCTCGAAACAGGAGATAGAGCCTTTTGTTCACACCTTGATAAAAAAAATACAAATTACGAAATATATCTAAATAAATTCTTCGAGAAACCATTTTTTTGGTTATTGATCATTACAGCCTCAGATTACAAAACAATATTTGTAATCTGAGGTTACAGCAAATGTTCTTTCGAGATTTTGATGCATCGATGTGGCAAACCTTAGAACTCACGATTCATAGGTCAAATGGACAATCGAGCCCACGTTTTCGAGCAATTAATGTTCGATCAAACGGCATTCTATCTCAAGTAGGGAACCCATCGAGAACTATAAAAAGAAATCAATGCATAATGCAAATTAAATATAAGAAGACAAGTATCAATTTTAAGATTTAGTTGCTGTGTACACGACTCTAGTCATCCTAATTATAAGCAGACTTAGAACGTACTTCTTGGAAACAAATCTTTAGATTGTGATATAAAAACTAGTAGGTACAAAGACTGGTCTCTTTTGTTATTGTTATAAATAATGTACCGTCTCCTATAAAGTTGTTTGTTACCTGATAAGAACAATAATCAGGGTTGCCTGATGAGAATTTTCATGTATAAGAATTTAAGCTTGTGTATGGTCAGAGCACATCACACTCAACACTCGACTTTCTTACGATTAGGCGGAACAGAGTTCTATTTAAATGTTAAATGTCAAGCTTGACATGCTCTTGACATTGTACAATGTACGAAGCCATTTGTATGCTCGCCCGCGTATATATAAATTTAAAAACGATCAATTTCTAAATCATCATTTTGAGAAATACTGACGCAGGGCGTTAGTAAATTAAATACTTGTTTATTTAATCTTTTAAATAAAAATAAATATTGCGAAAGTACACAAATTTTTCATGTGGTACAATTTAAAAAATTTGGTGCGAGAAATCTCTTTGTATGTGTACATACATACTAAGTACTCACTTGGAAACCCTGAATAATATTTTTGTATTTAGTACGATAATATAATGCGACGGTTTACTACCATTGTTTTAATTCTCACATTAACCTGTTTTCGATTTAAATAAAAATACGTAACAAACATCATCAAGTACTCACTTGTTACTTGTAGTGAAATATAAGAGCCTACGGCGTATACGCGCCTACGACGCACGTTAAGGCGTTTCAAATGCAGTCGCAGCGAGTAAACCTTTGCATACGTTCACAAAGTCAGTGGCGTCGTAAACGCGTGTCTTGTGCGCGTATACGCGCTGTAAACGCGATGTAGCCGCGCGTATGTATCGTACATTTTGATAAGAGATAGTTTTAATTTTAGTTTTGTTTGATAATTTCAGTTACATTTTAAAATGAGGCAAGTAAAAAAATATAAAAGCACGCACACTGAGTCTTTTTAAACATATACGTACTAAAACAGATTCAAGAGAAATCACTGTACTAAATTATTACTACTGGGACTTAGGAGTTTATTTTGCATGCACTGCATCACTAGACATGAAGAGTGAAAAGGTTAAAAAATCACAGCAAAAGAGTCGTCTTGAACATGAAATTCTAAGTGTGAACTCCAGTGGATGTTCGAGACAGACAAGCTTCGAACGCGTATCTCGCGCGCGTCTATCACGTTTAGGCGCGTTTATACAGACTTTGTACAGACAGAGCCTTCGTCAAACACGCGTCGTCGGCGCATATAAAATACACCATGTGAATAGGCTCTAACATATATACTTTGTAAATACTTATTCTGTAGTGTGTAGGAAGGATATAATAACAAAACCATATTATGTTCCTGAAAATTTAATGACTTTAATAGAAGAATAACTAAATTAAAACAGCAAGATAGAAGAAAAATCATTCATTATTAACATCATCTTTATCTGATTATGTTCAAGCAAAAAGACCAAAATTAATCAATGACCTAACAAAATATACAACAAAAGTCATTAAATAATTATGTCCAATTAGTTAGTCTACTGTGGGCGACCGAAGCGATACACGGGTATTTTTGTTTCAACTTCACCACTAAAATGAAAGTTACGATAATACAACTTATAATTTTGAATAATATTGTGATTAAAAGAAAAAGCTAAATAATTCTTTCCTACTTATATAATGTGTAATAATATAAAGTGTCGACTACTTAATATGTATAACTATACTTATAATTTCACACAAAGAGCGGCGCGCGGGCCGGCGCGATCGCGACCGCGGTGCCGCCGGCCCGCGCCGCTCGCCTTATGCCGATACTCGATACACACCACAATCTCGCTACACTAGGTCACTTAGCCAAATGTTAGACAAGTAAGAAAGCGACGACTTCCCGAACCAAAATTACAATACTAACGATTTGAAGATGATGTCAACCGGCGGCCGGCGAGTGACCGGCGCCGCGCTACGGTCCGTTTGGCAATACGTTTCACAGTCACCAACTAATCGTTGTCTAGCACATAACGCCATATCGTTTAGAAGTTCGCTACGTTATTTATCACGAGTTGAATGTTTCCAACAAAACACAAGTCAAGTCCGCAGTCGAACTTCTGTACAATTTACAACTAGGCAAATAACACGGAGAGTGCCTGGGGCAACATCGCCCCTCCTTGAGCTTCAGCTTACAATGTTATCGAGATAATTTTAAGCAGGCTACGCTCTCCGTTGGAATCGTAACAATGTAGCTTTTTTTGGGAGTTTTAATTTTTTACAATATATAGGATTTGTTTCTATAATTAATTATATCTAATATTTACAATGGAGGTGAATGGACAATATTCAAAAACTCTACTTATTAACTCGAAAAATTAATCCAGAAATCCTACCCGAAACGAACTTTATCTACAACTTTTAATAAAAATTTAAAAGTAAAACTCTCGCCACAAATAAATCTAAATACAGTCGGATCGAGTCTGCGTCTCTAATTCGGCGCTACAACTATTATACGTCGTATGCATCTCTAATTCAGACAAGCCTCTGTCGAAACGAAACTCTACCGGGTAAACTAGCGGCGCGGAGGGCGGCGTCATTGTCGAAAATATTACGCTTAAATAAGAGACACAGACTCGATCGAATATTTATTTAGAGTAAATCAATAAAGGTATGATCGTGGGGGTCGGGCAGAGGACGCAGAGGGTGAGGGCTCATATCTTGTGTATCTTCTGCGACACGACGACGGGGTTGTTGCGGCGGATCTCCTGCGCGCCCAGTTCCCGGTAGTCGAACGAGCAGTCGTGCTTGTCGCTGTACCGGTGCACCGCGCAGAACAGCCCTCCGCAGCGGCACTCGAACCCTGCGCACACGCACACACATTGTACTTTGCACCCACAGCTGGCACACGCACATCTCACGCTACGTCGAGTGCCTCTGCATTTCTTAACTCAAGTGTCGTAATGTGAATAAAATATTACAATGCTCTATTTTGTAGTTATGAGGCACCACTTGGCATATATACTAGTCAAGTAGCGCCTATTGTCCATGTAATGGAAATTTAATTCAATTTAACCGCCTCCGTAGCCTAAAACTGCTTCGGTGGCCGAACGGTCACCACGCCAGACGACACGCAGAGGTCGGTTCGATTCCCGGACCGTGAGAATTCGTATGGCCTACAATTATTCTCTCGTGAGTTTGGATGTAATTTATGGTTGTCTATGTGTATCCACGGCGCCCGCGATACATGGTTTCCTTAGTGCGGGGATGAGTGTGTGCGTTAAAAAAACGTATCTATGTATATCTTCATCCCCATGTATAGACTACGGGATATAGTGGTAAAACAGCAATACACTTTAAATATTTAATTATGTTATACTTGTTATAGTAACAGACACGAAAAGAGAGTTTCCAAGATTTATATTTACCTGTGAGTCCAACCTTCTTGCGGCAGACAGCGCACCTATTCTTTTTCTTCTTATCCTTGCTGGGGTCCTTGTCATCAGGGTCCGTGTCAGAGGCGCCCGTGCTGGTACCACTCGTGCCCGCACCACCCTCTTCCTCCAATTTCTGGAATTAAAATAACACCACCCATCAGCAAATACATTGAAAAACAACACGTTCAAAACGCATCTGTCAATGAAACCTATAGAAATATCGTCCAATTTCCTTAATATACAAAATTCCATTTCTGTTAATTCAACACATTGTATACACGTGACTAATTTTTTACCGAAGATTAGTACTGGTTGTGAGTATATGCGATATCCGTAACTTACGCCCGGTATGTACAAAGGCGGAGAAGAGATAATTAAACGACAAATAGGACTACGATTAGTTGCGACTGTGAAATTAAGAAACATTACTTGGAGGAAATGTCTCTTCCCTTTTGATGATTTGAAGAAACTAATAAAAACGAATAAAATTGTGCAGGACTACAAAACATAGTTACGATAGTAACTTAAGAATTGAATTGCATAAATTGCGATCGCATTTATTTGAGTAAACTCAAACGCCGTTCTCAAATAACTAACGAACCCGTTTGAAGCCTCGTCTGCTACTCTGAGGTTCTAGGCTTTTTTTGTCGAGTTTCAGTGTGCTTCTTGATCGACAGTCCTTTTTAGAATCGGTAGCAGCCTCTTCAAAAATTTCATTGCGTGCTTCTTGAATATCGACGATCTTCTTGACTTTCGCCTCGTCCGAAAGCCTGACGGAGCCTGCCCTGTGCTTGGCGGAATCGTGTTCGGCTTTGTCTGAAGGCCCGTCAGGAGTGGGCAGCGGCGTGCTGTCGTTCAACCCCCCCGAGCCGCCTTTATTCTCGAAACTCTTGGACCGTGACACGCTGATACCCTGTTCCATTATAGCGCTCTGCTGGCTGCCGTTGGTATTATTTTTGCTATTACGTCGTATTGCCTTTTTAAAAAGTCTTTTTCCCTTTGAATCCTTTTTGTTAGGGTCATTTTCCATTATTTGATTATTTGTGATTGTTTCAGGTTGGACATTTTGACTGAAAAACAAAGTCGTTAAAGCTAGCCTTATAAGCTATTACTTTGTTGTATAACGTATATTTCACACATAAAAATGTAACAGCAACTTATTGCTTTACCTTCGGCTACGATGTAAAATCGCCCCACATTTCAAAAAGAACGGAAGGGCTTCATATGCTGGAAATCGTTACATTTTATAAACTATCGATCAAAAACAAACTACCTAATAATATCCAAAATTCTGTACTATAAGTCTATTGTTAAATGAAGGGGTAAATAAATAGTTCTAGCTTTTTTTTTGGTTTTATCTGCTGTGTTGTGTACAAAATGTCCCAACATGTCAACAAGACATTGTTCTCTTTTTAAAAAGTTTGGTCTTGTGCCAGTACATTTTTAGAAAAAAGTTTTCATTGAGTATTTCGTTTTTTACCATGCTTCAAGGTCCAATGACAATAATGGACGGCAATTCTTGATGATATTATGGTTAGCTACGACGCAACTATGGGTCGTAAAGCGGACAGTGTCATCGCTTAAATTTTTAATTTTTGTGATTTAATCAGCCGAGAGACGAGCCTTCCTCCAAAAATACCATATGAAATGACTAACAGTGAACAGCACATCAAGCTATACACTTTTGTTCAATTATCGCCTCCAATATGTAGCTTGATGTACAACCCTGGGCAATGGCATCTCACCACACTATAACTGTAAGTTCAAAAGCTTGTTTCTTACGAATCTACAAAAAAGGAAATTTATACTACTGATATAGTCAAAGATCTATCAGAATCTCATAACAAATACAAAAAATGTTTTAGCTACACTTAGTCCACTTGGAATAAACATTTCTGATAGTGGTGATTCCTTCAACATCGTACACACGCAAAATATATTTAAATATAAGTCTGTAGAAGTGCTGGACAAATTATTAATTTATTACAGTATAGTTCATACAATGCAACTTTCTCGTCGCAACATCTAAATATAAAATGGAAAGTTTGCGTATTTACAACAAAATTAATAATCAGTCCTAGTTACTGACCAAACAAACTCTTTGAGTGCCAAATTTATATTGGTATATGAAATTCCTCTTTATTTTTAATTTAGTGTCACAAGATTCTGATAGACCTATCTATAAAAAACTCATTCAGATACCACCTGTTGCAGTAGACTGAGCCGTCTACTCAGTGATATTATTAGTACCGAGGAAGGTAAATACGTTGTCATACGCTGTAAAAATCAGTACCAGAAAATGATAGCGTGTCGTAGTTACAATAGGACTAAAAATCACCATGGGTTTTCATACCACATGTTAATAAATAAATAGAATTATAATAAAGTGAAATTTGTAACAAGTCGGTCATAGATTGACACGAATCAGGTTACGTTACTTTATTTTGTACGTATTAATAACAGTATTTTTTTTTTTCACTTCCCACACTTACAAGGTTTATCATATAATTTGCTTCGCGGCATGCGAACTAAAGTAGTACTTTTAAAACCGGTAAAATGGTTTTAAAATTTTAAAACGCTATTAAGACTTGGGAAATAATAAATAATCAATTTTCATTTACTATCACCACATGATAAAAATTATATTAAAAAAGTCTAAGGTAAGGATGGCTCCTTAATAAAATACGTTACATTTCATTTGCCTTTGCGTTCTGTATACGAATTTGGATTCAAAAAAGCTACAATGGGGTGAAATTAGTCCTTGGCAAACTATTTTTTAATTTTGTATATTGTTTTATATCCTGGCACTCAAAATATAAAACAGACTTTGACTCTGTTGTCAAACCGGTTAAACACTAGAAATATAGCTATGTTCGAATTCCTCTTGCGTTTAAATATCTCTTGTATCAAGTGAATCGTTTTCGAGATATTTAAACGCATTGTATCAAATTTATATATGTGTAAAATTTAATCTCGTCCGTTAAAAAATGTTCCAGCTTAAAATATTAAACGAAATCTGATTTCAAAATCAGTTTTCTAGCAATGAAATTAGAAAGTTCATGTGGGATAGTATAATTGGATTAGAAACTATCAGACCACAACTGCAGGACCAGCGTGTCAGTTCGAGGAAACGTGGTTGGTGGTCACCGAGTATATAACCAGAAATAGAGAAGAAATAAGGGCCATACATTCCTGGTAACACATCAGTGATACATCAATTATAAATATCAACACTTGTTTGCACTGAAATAGTACAGCGCCAACAACTGACCGGTGTGTACGTCTCCGTATATTTCGTATTCTGTATTTATTGTAATAAAGATAACATCTCTAACAATGGCGTGCTGTCCTATTCGGTGGTGTGGGAAAAACAGCAAAACATTTAATTATATATATATATATATATATATATATATATATATATATATATGCGCAGTTGTCACCAGTTCTCATTATATACTGAACTGCTTATATACTGAACTTTTTATAATTACACAATTTGTGCATGTCTTTAAATAGCCACTTACGCTCTTGGCTTATCAGAAATATAAATAATGTAGATAGTTAAAGAAGCTGAATTCGTTGGCTTTACATAGTTATTTAGTGTTATATAAGCTAGAAAGATAACCACATAAGTTAGGGCATTTAACCTTGCCTATTTCTGCCGCCAAGCAGTAATGTCAGTTTTATTGTGTTCCGGTTTTGAAGGGTAAGGGTGCTGGTGAAATTACAGGCACATGGGACTTGTCAACTTATGTCGCAGGGTGACGGACGCAGTGGCTGTACCCTCAGATCTTTGCACTTTAAAGCTCTGAGTAGCACTGCAACTATGATGGACTGGCATGTACCTTACCATCGGGCGCACGACTTGTTCGTCCCGTCACTTGATATTATAAAAAAAAATTTGATCAGATAACTTTTAGGCTACGCGCATTTAGGCTGTAGAGGTCTATCATCAATTCATCAACGACTTAAATGTAAAGAAGATTCTTAAAGTTGCTTCAGCCGTTAGCAAGTTTCACCGAGTTCAGACATACTAGGAGATTAAATGTATGATACACAGACATATATCTAAATAGACGCCCCAAGTGTACCTACTTTGCGTGCCCAATGTATGCTATAAACGCTTAGTTGCCGCTGCTACGTTTCAGAACGCACCCGGCTTATACTTTTCATATTATATTAGTTATCGTAGTTAAACATCAGTCGAAATCGCAAAAAACGCCTAATTATGCCATTAAAAACTGCAAAAACACAACAGCCATGGATAGATGAACAAACAGGGATGTTTCGTTCCACAGTTAACTAATTTTGTAATCAGAATACAAGGGTTGCCTTTTTATTATTCTATATATTTTCGGTATTTGGCGACCCTAGTGTTGCGATCTGGCAATTCAGTTAAAGTCTCTATCGCTTAATTTGAAATTTTTGCCGGCAAACGTATTTATTATGTAATTATTTATATTTCCCGGTAAATATTTTGGAAATCGAGTCATATTTGTGTGGTTTAAAATAATTAGAAAAACGGTATGGGTCCTTCAAGATGAGCCCAATTCGACGAAAGCACGCACGAAGCACTTCGAAGCAAACGATCGCCTGTTTTTTCGAAAAAACTGGACACATCGCAACCGTATAATTAGAACAACGTATAACGATAAATTCTGAATGGTACACAACCATTTGTTTGCCAGTTGTCAGTGGAGAAATAAGAAAGACCAATCGCCGAAGAAGGATCAGTCTTTACCACGACAATGGGAGCTCTCACATATAGGTGTGACTTTTTGAGCACTCAAAACGCCGGCTTGATTTGGTACCTAATGACTTCTTTTTATTCCAGCACATAAAAAAAATTCGAGGTCAAGTTTCGAGGTTTTTTGGCACCTGAAGCTATTGATGCATTTAAAATGTATGTTTTGAAGGTACCTCGACTTGAGTGATTTTCCGAAAAATAGTTTAAACGGTAAGTATATCGATATTAGTGGTGAATATTTTGAAATACCATAAAGCCATTTTCTGTAATAAATATTTGGTATTGGTCTCTAATCCCGAAGTATAAAAGGCGACCCTCGTATGCAGTAGTAAGCATAATTTATTTTAAAATCATTTATTGTCATTTTGAATGAATTTCGAGAAAACAAATGTGTCGAGTGTATGCCGCATGATTCGTAATACATTGCGGCTTTTAGTTGATGCGGTACACTTGTGTTCTTTCTTTAGTAGGCCACGAATATCGAACGAGTTATACTTTCGTATAATGCATTCACATTCGTGATACGTCCGTTTCGTCATGTTTTTGGTCAAATTTTACGATTAGTGACGTTCACTTGATGCAAGACAGTATTCGATTCTGATCGATTTACGGAACAAGGGGATAATAATTCTTAAGACCTTGGAAAATGTTATTAAAATATTCTATAAGTTTGCTGTATTTAGTTTTATGGAGCAACTTTTTTTTAAAACACGTATTCATAAAGGGCTTAACTTATTCTGGTATTATTTTACTATATTAATATTTCACATCTTACAATCAACAAATACTTAAAAATAATTATTCTAAATACGTGTTGCGTTCGCGTCTTCATACAGATCGCAGTACTTGCGGTGTCTATTTAGATATATTGTGTCCTTGGTATGGCTGTATATGGTATGCGATACGTGCTATACCTTCCCGTTGCATAGTTATTTCATTCGATAAAACCATGCTGCCATTATTAAAATTAGATTTTTTTATTGTGAATACTGAATCGGTAAGGTTCTAGTTTCATTCCGTTTCAACCGTACTAGTATCATTAATTCTTTTGTTTATTTGAGAATTAACTATTGTCATACATTTTGAAGAACAAGGATAACTACATGATAATTGTGTATATAGCTATTTTTGTCGTTTAATCATCGCCGCGATCCTTTCCATCCTTTTAATTGCATCATTAATTACGAAATAAAAATTGGCGGGTTTTTGTAGTTACAGTTTGTAAATTGAATATTTAGTATAAGAATTCTTTCGTTTTGCATTTCTTAATTATTTGTTACTGTTTAAATTGATAGTTCTATAGTCAATGCTCAAATAAATAATAAAACACGACGGAAAACTTTAAACGATTTCAATATTTGCAAAATCCACACAGTCTTTGTTTAAAATGTTGGAGAACATCCATTTCGGAATATTTTATAATTTTGTAAGAACTCAATTTTCTTATCGTCTCGACATTTTCGTTAAAACATAATATTACACATCCACTAGACAATTTTACATAGCTTTAGTTTTTATTTACGTATTTCAAATTACTCTCATATATAGAACTGTATTAAAAATGTTCTCCTCACCTTTTTCCGATAATTAATATAATATCAACCTCTTACTTTTAATTATTTCTGTTTATCGCGTTTGTCGCGCTCAATTTTTACTATAAAATTACTAATGAAATTGTCAAAATGTTTTATAATCAGCTGTGACCTTGCAGCCATGTTGGCTCTGTGATATTCTTTCGCGGCCATTGTTACAAAAATGTGATGTCACGGTCCTCGCCATGTTAGCTATTGTGATAAAATTTTAAAATGGCGGTTTTATCACTTGAATTTAAAAGCTAAATGTGGACATAATAGTCTTATCGCGGTGGCATGCTACGCGGACTGGTTAAGAGTACTGTATATTTTTGACATGGGAGAGCTATCTATACAAAAGATGATTTACGGAATCAAAACTGAGGGCGGCAAGATGGTGCTTTTAAATAAAATGGCAGCATTGTCAACTACGTGTGGTCATATTACTAAGCAAATCGCTATGTACCACCACTGTTGATGTATAAGGCGCATTCATAAGGGATTAAAGTGGTTATGAGAAAGAGCTACGCTTTAACGGTTAGTTCATATCTAACACTGGAAATACAGAATGTGGCCTCACGTCTGTACTATGCTGCTGAGGCGCGACTGGCAAGCTGGGCACGGTAGGCGCGGCAGCGGCGAGTGGCGTGGGCGCAGGCGTCGCGGGCATGAACGCCGCCGACACCGGTGACGGCGTCGTCGCTGGTGGCTGTTGTTTCTTCTTCAGAGCCTCCTGGAATAACATAATTGAAATTTTTATATCACGGACTACATCAAAACGAGAATAAATACAACACATCACATGAATCCATGCACACGAATTGTATTGTGTCATCTAATTATTGTTCATGTAACTGTGGCGAATTAGAATCTGTCTCACAGCATATGTACCTCGGTCTAATAATAGACAATAACTGGAAACCTCATACAGACTATGTATATAAGAAGCTGAGAGCAGTCTTATCAAAACTTTCCTTGCTGAAACATTCAGTTACCTTACAAAACATTAAGAACAAACGCTGTACAACGTATAGGCAGATTCAATAATTGGATACGGGCTTAGTAGTTATGGCACAACATACAAAACATACTTAGATGACATTTACAAATTACAAATAAGGCTACTAAAATCTTTTGTGCTAATATCAGTTAAAAATATATATAAAAACGATCGGAATAACTTGTTTAGGTACTGTAGAATATTAGATATACATAGTAAAATAAATATAGTCATAATTTGTGATGAAATAGATAAAATTGCTATGTTATAAAACAAACTATAAGAATTGGTAAACTGCGTCATCTAAATTACCTACCAAGGTATGCTCTTCCTCCATACAATAACAACTATGGAAAGCGTGCCTGGAGATACATAGTACCATTACTGTTTAAAAAATTGCCAAGTGACGTTCTTGATAAACTTCTAGGACCCAACCAGAAAAGTGAAAAACAATTCTTAAACCAATGCATTTATCAAATTGTGAAATTTAATAGATTGCGTGTAAGTAGCGGAATTTGCGCATAAGTATTAGATGTTCATTCTTTTGTTAGACACCTGGTAGCAAGTGATGGCATTTTAATGGTTTTTATTCGCTGTTTTGTGTTTCTTTTTGTAAACTTTTTACTTGTGAATAAAATAAAAAAATAAAAAAAGCAATGTCCTTTTTATAGAAAGACTGTTCTTTCTAGTACAAAAATCCTACTATGTCCAGGGTCTGTGCAGCGATTGATCAATCGTAATCATCACTAATTATAACTCGAAAAAACCAAGGCCAAGAGAATGAAAAACTTAAAAAATCCTTTTTTTTTTCACTTCAATCCTCGAAATATTGGTAAACGAGTCGAAAAAATGAAGGTTGAAAATTTGCGGCATATTTGACATGCTCATTTCTTAGACTATAGATCTGATATGCTAATAAACATAATTAACGGAAATGGTTCCAAAACTAAACGCTATACTATTGTTTCAATATTTTTTCAATTGGACTTTTTTGTACTGTGATATTTTCATTTATTAGGCATCCACTAATTGACTAAATTAGTGGATGCCTAATAAATGTAAATATCAATAGCTTTTGCTTTGTCCTTACTAAAGACAGTTGTTTTTAAAAATCTTAAATAGGGTCGTTGTTCAATTTTCTGCATCTTAATTTTTAAACTACTTCATTTTTACTGTCAATATTCATACTAGGGTCGACAGACTAAAGTAAATAAGTCAAAAACCAACATCATTCGTTGGAATTAATACATCTACCGACTCTAACCGTATTAATTAGGGATAAATTTAAAATCTTAAACTCGTTACCGAAAATCATGAATATACTCAATAATTAGATATACTCAATTAATGCAACTATACCCATTCCTGACTTGTTCAAAAATAACAGATTTAGATGGATATTTTAAATTTATCTCTATGACTTCAGCTGCACTTTTGGTTTGGAGACAAATTTCAAGCAAAACGAGAAGATTTCAAAAAGATGATTTGCAAGATTTCAGTTGAATTTTTATTAAATGTTGAGATATTTTTTAACATTTTGAACGCAACGATATCTTTGACACTTAGGCTCAACTCACACTGGCGAAGCGTCGCGTCGCGTCCTGTTTTTCAACTACAACGCTTGGCGACGCGCGTCGTAGCGCGATGACACTCGCATTAGTGTGCCCGGTTCACAGTGTGGTCGGCTATTTGACGCCTCACTGCGCTCAAGTGACGCGCGTCGACGCCCATTTCCATATTTGCATAACACACTTTTGTACATTAATAATGGGAAAATAGAGATGAATAGGCAAAAACATGACGCGTCGCGACGCTTCGACTCTGCGCCAGTGTGAGTTGAGCCTTACTGCACACAGGTATGACTAAGAGTTTGAACTTTAATGACTATTTCACCTCTTTCAAAGGAATACGAATTAAAAACACATCTCGTAAAAGCTCATAATGCTATTGGGTTCTTTGGCACTGGCAATGATCTTATACACAAGATATGTTACGTTCATAGTAATCTATAAACCTATAATTATTTTTTTTTAAATCGCGCGTTTAGTATTTGCTTTGCTGGGGTATAGATCATTATAATGTTGTTGAACAGAACGAACGTACCGAATATTAGGTAAGAAGTGATTGAGTAGGTAAAAGTGTAGTAGAACACATTGGAAAAAAAAAACAAATTTATTTTATTAAACAAATGTGAAAAATATTTTTAAGTCAAATAAACATCTACCTGCCATTTTTAAGGTAATAAACAGATTTGTTTGTTGTACCTTTCATCATTTCGATCGAAAGACGTCCACGGCTGGACATAGATCTATCAAAGAGTACAACAACAACCCTATAATTTAAATTAAATTTTATAAATAGTTCTTTCGCTATCAAACACGAACATTGATTGATCTTCTAACAAACGATCATCAATTGACAATTTAAAAAATATGAGACTTTATTTAATGTTTTTTACTTGTACATTTTCAAATACTTCTTCTATATTACAAAAAATATGTTATTTTTAATTATGTGTTTTTTTAAGACAGCAGAAAGTAAAGAAGTATATTGTAAGATAGCAGAAAGAACTACATTATGAATCTGTATATAAATAAGTTTTCCAACTGCAATACAGTCAGACATCTACCAAATTGATGACTTTGCTGCCCACAATGTTCGTATCTGCACTTATAATCTATGACCGGAGTTCATGCATCCGTATCGCACTCGCTGTAGGAATAATTAGTATCTCCATCTTCAATTAGCAGTGGTTATTTATTAACTAATGTAAAATAGTATTGATAATTTACACGTGAGATTACTTGCGTTTTGGTTACTTTAACATAGTATTATTTAGTTCATTTTTCTTGAAATTTAATAAAATGACTAGTTTTACTTATGTCAAATTTTCTTTCTTTGCTCGGCGCAGACTGATTGCAAGATCATACAGTTGACTGAATGTCGAATCTTCACAACGCGGATGCTGTAGCATATCTGCCTTTTTTTACGTATATAAGATAATTGTGCACAGGATTACAACTCCAGAATATGATTAAAGTAGAAGTTGTCATTTATATTAAATAAACAAATGTAAGACCTTGTAAGTCCAGTTGGTTTGCGGAAGAATGGTATAAATGTAGAATTATTCTATATTCACCATTCTTACAATATTAAAAATGTGACATAGGATCGAGTAGTGGGTCACCAGTATGACGTAAAATGTTTTCCCGAAAATGTGATTCACGTTATCCTTGGACATGTATTAAATATATAAAGCGCAACAGGAATGCTTTCTTCCACTGGATGCGAATTCCTCATACTGCGGGAAATACTATTATTTGCTCCAGCCATTAGTGCTAGCTGCGTACAGCAACCATGTAACATTTTGTATATAGCAAAATCTACAGAGCGGTCACAAAACATTATATAAATATTTTACCTGGTCTCTAGGGACAACTGTCGCTGTAAACTACCCAAAAGCAAATATAACGACACCTATAAATGGTTTTCTTAAATCTGTCACGCGGAATTTATCTCGTTTCATCATTCCCACAAAATTCTAAATCAATATTTTATCAACCTTTACGGACAATGTAATAATCATTTGAAACTTGTAATAAATTTATATTTAGAACGTAATTTGAACAGGAATTTAGGTACACAATCAACATCATAGTCGACTTTAATACTGCTAAATAAAACCACATAATCGCTGTTCTCTTTTTTTAGTTAATATAAGTCGAACAACACCGTGAGCAATAAACAATAAATATACCTCTTTCAAATATGTAGTACTTACAGGACACCGAAAAATATTTGTAAATAAGACCCTTACGCACAGAATGTAAGGGTCGTATTCTAGAACTCTACTCAATGCTCAAGTCAGGATTTGAGCAGACTTGAGTATGATTTCAAGCACTGGAAATACGACCCTAATGGCAAAGACCTGAGTATGATTTCTAGTGCTTTGAATCATACTCTAGTCCTGACTTGAGCATTGAGTAGTCCTAGAATACGACCCTAAAACACTTCTAACTAAATAACCACTTGATCATAATCCAAAAGAATCGGTGGTACTGTATGTAAGTGAAACAGTGCGTTAATTTCTTGTATAGTACCCGGCACGTGTACCGATAACACTGATCGATGTATTATGACTCCTTATAATCTCCGCGAAATAAAATGAAACGTCTACGTCTTGAGTATACGTGTGTAGTTGAAGTATAATTGTCATATACGTCCCATTGCTGGGCACGAGTCTCTCCTTGGTTGATGACGAGATGGTTTTAAGGGTAAACGGCGTGAGACGACGTACACGTCCGCACCGCAGACTTTCTATTTGTAGGTCACAACACTACCTCATGTAGTCAAGGAGATCCACCGATTACTTACAACATGAATAAAACCTGCATCCCAGGAACTCTTCGATAAAATTTTAATGATCCTGTTTGCCTCACTGATATGTTCACAGGCAGAGATTCATTCCCGGATGTGCAATACAATTCACTAACTTTCCAATAAAAAGTAGTTGTAGACTTAATAGAGTTACGTTGAACTACTTATTTATTGGATTTCAGTTACTTACTGCTAACAACTAAACCAAAGGCTACTCGCACTTTTCAAAATTTGAAGCAAAGGACAAAACCTCATTCAAAGAAAAAATTACCAATAGGCAATTGTCATTAAATGAGGTTTTACATAAAACATCAATCAACGACAATTAAAACATTATTTGCAATAAAAAGAAAACTTGCCAATCCCGTTTTTTTTTGTTCCTTACCTTCAGCGAGGTGTAGGTAGATTGTGGGCGATTATTTGACGATCACACAGTGAATAGCGAGGCTAAACATCAAACAGCCTAATTCTAAACTTGTGGCTACGCCTATTGTGTTGCCTTACAATGGCAGAAGAAGCGAAATCGAACTATTCCAATCTTATACCGATTTTAATGCACGCCATTCATTGGACTCGTTGATAAGAATCTGACCAGAATTCTCTAGCTTTGTTCGATGGAATGCTATTTTGGAAACAATTTATGGCAACATTGGCAACTTGAAGCAAGTGAATCGACATGACTAATTTAAATAAACTTATAAAGACTATCAGAAATAAAAAATCGAAGATACTCGATCGATTTTCTTATCTATTTCGTTGTATTCGGAATTACAAAGAAAGGTAGTAATCGACTTTATTTTTGATAGATCTTACTAGTGGTGGATAATTGGGCGTAGCTGCTTATTGACAACACCTGAGTAAGTGGAAATTCTAAAAGTATGAGTGAGTCATATGTTGGTATATCATACGTAAGTTGATATTAACCGACACCTTACAACAATTCTCTGCAAAAGATTGGGTATTAAACTGTAGTTCACCTTAGCACAATGCAGATTGAGGACTTAACCTACCTTCGAATAGTTTTGTGAACCTCGTACGCGTTCCTCTTATTGTTTCTTCTCAATACCGAATCTAACATTAGTAGTCTAATGAACATACAATTCAGAAGTAACCACAACCATGTGTCGTGGTTGGTTCAGCAAGTGTCCATCGCCGTTCAGAGAAGCACTGCTGCCAGTATAATGGGAACTTTTGAGTCGGGCACGATACGGGGCGGGATTCTTTTTAAGAGATTTTTAAGTTGAAAATCTGTTGCAAATACCAGTTTTTCTTAAATTTTAGTAACTATTAACGAAACCCAGTGCTAAATTTAACTAGAAATATTAATGTAACATTTGTATTAAGATAATAAAGTCTGATTTCATTCAGAAGCGCAGACCCAGAGATGGACGTACCTTAAAGCACACCGAGCAGAGCCCGTCTGTGGACGGGTTCCCGTAGAACCCACATCCGGAGCGGCACAACGCCTCCATGGGATTTGATTCACGCTCCATTGTTCACAATAATTTTACTCAAAGTTCACTTCACTATTCAAAAGTACGATTGCACTAATAGTATATTGCACTTGTTTGTCGTAACACTTTTCAAACACTTGAACTGTTCAATTTAGACACGATCTATGTCCAACTTGCTTTGTAGTCGGGTAGTGGCTTCCCTTGCCAATATGCTGCAACTGTTCTGTTTATGTCAGGATCGCAGAGGGCCCTGTAACAAATTCAGGCTCCAATTAAGCACTTGATCAACAAATAATATATATATTAACGATATCTTATTGCCTTTACGTTGAGGTATTACTTTAACAGTTTTCGTGCGTTAATCTTAGCCTGGCTTTAATACTTTTCAATTTCCTGCGTCTATTCATGTTAATGGTATTATTTCAATTAATTAGGTTAGAGACTTAATTTAGCGCAATCGTTTAGTTACGTGCATTTTTCTGTGAATATACATTTTTAACTGATATACAATATGACGTATACAACACATTATTTCGTTAGAAAGTGGTATCTAAACACAAACACGATTTCGTAGAGGCAAAGCATAATATGCATAACGACAGTTTGCGTAACAAGAGAGAGCTATGGCTAAAGTGGAACGCGCCCGCGAAACGGGGCACAACGCTGGCCTGCGCCCCGCGACAAGGTCACACCGGCACTCTCCCCCGCCACCTCTCGCCCCCACCGCCAGACACCTCTTGCAAACCCTCCGGTCACCACGGCCACTATCACTCCCATGGCTGTTGGTCAACACCTTTGCAATTCCTAAGGTCATTTGAACTTAGTATATGTTTTTCAACGCCAATACACAAACCAAGCCTGACGAAATACCATAAAGTTTGTCACAGACAATTTTTGTAAAGTTTAACTGCAATGAGTTACGACATTAAACGTAGATCAAAGATAGTCAATGCAAGGTTTTTTTTTAGCATAAAGAAACGAAAATATTTGAAATCATCCTTCGTGGGAGGTTGATGGTGTGGTAGCATTATTCATGTAGTTTTGTCCTATTGATTTAATGGTTACACCATTCTACAACATTTTACGCCATAACAGAGTCAACTTGCAGCAAAACAGATAAAATATCTTTACTAAGTATAGGATACGAACGACTTGAGCACCTAAACCGAAAATATTTTTTCTTTTGCTAAATATTTCAGTTTAGATTTTGCTACTGTTTAATGTTTTATTAATGGCAAACAAATGACTAAGGAATGTGTAGCAATTATTGAAATAATGAATCTTTCGTATGAAGAGCGTGCACCCGACGAGGTCATTAGCACTGGACTCGGACTTGGGAGAGTCATCGACCGGGCAACACGCAGGGGTGTACACGGCGTGCGGCTGGCGCGGCGCTGGCGCACGGATCTGACTGTCTACCTTTGTTGCACTGTGTACCTGCCCACAGATGTTTACATCAACAATTTTTATACGGAGCAGTCGCATGGATTGGGCTTTATTACAGAGTTCATACTTAGATAATCTCCTCGCTTATTTGCAGCGTTATTTTCTGCGATTTTGAGACAAATGAAGAAGTGTGTATAAGCTACATTGAAGTATAGAAACGTAACTAGCGTGTTTATCAGCAATACTTTAATAGTCATTTGCCTTTGCAAAGCATGATTGATATAATTTTCAATGAAAAATATACTCGACAAAAAACACAGCGACTATTTTGTCTACACCCAAACAACTCTGAATAAATATAATTTTGAATAGTGAGCACTAATCGTGGAATATTGCGCGTTAACCTGCGTGTATTTAAGTTGCACAAATAGTGTGGCGTCACGTCTGGCATCACATCACAATCATATTAACACGATTTCATATCTCCGCCGCTCATTTTATCGGCCTCAACCTAACCCGAACATTCGTATCGCTCTCGAAAACGTTGATAACGAGCTTAATGACTTTCAACTTAACATTTCATACAAATACGGCGCTGAGCACGAAAAAACGTATTTGAGGATGATAAATGTCTGGTACGAGACGGGTGCAGAGGACACATCAATTGTCATTTATTACCTATGTTCCTTTGGCGACAAGCTCTATCTTTTTATAAGTTTTCTCAATCTTATTCTACCATTTTTGCATTTGTATCTTTTCACTCTATATATATTCGCCCTATATTTTCCTACTACATTTGCCTCTGTGGCCGAACGGTTACCATGCCGGAATGCCACGTAGAGGTCCCAGGTTCGATTCCCGGGCCGGGAGAAATAGCTGTATGGCCTACAATTATTTCTCTCGTGAGTTTGGGTGTAATTTATGGTTGTCTATGTGTGTGTCCATGGCACCCGCGACACAGGGTTTCCCTAGTGCGGGGCTATGTTGAGTGTGTGTGTGCGTTACTATATTCGCCCACTTGTTAACCTACTTTAGACGATCACATGTTTGTTCTTGTGTCATCTAAGCATCGTTTAGACCTGTGATCTCGCTATATACATAATTTATCAGTAGTGACGCGAATCTTTAATTCGTATTCACTAGCTTCCACATCTCATCACGCAACGAGCGATAAAAATACATTAAATCCATGAAATTCTTCTTTTAAGTTAATGCAAATCTTAATATTAAACGAAGCTAAGTAAATTAAAAGCTAATTGCATGCGAGTTAACGGCCGGCGGTAAATAATTTGGAGGCATGTAATATTGGTACGAAATAAGTGTGCCAAGGCGACTGAGTAGTCGAACAGTCGGAAACGTGATGTTCAATTATAGCGATACAATGATGGCGCTGCTAGACTGCGTTGCCAAATTAGCAATACTGGTTGCTCCGTCAACTCTTACTAACTCACGGTCCCGATCGTATGAACCACCTCACTAGAACAAAGTTGTCGCCAGTTCGAACAAAATATTATTAAAGTATGCCTATTAATAGTTGTAAATAGGAAACAAACTTTCTAATACTGTACAATTAATGTTAAATGTTAAGCAGTGTAAGGAGATTGCAATTGCAAACAAAGTAAGCAAAGCAATTTGTTATAGTCGTCTAGAGATAACTTCGAAGGGGTATGATAGCCATGCTATACTTATGCGCGTGTATAGGTCGTCGCGGCGCCGTGTATGCGCCGTGCCCCGCTGACCCACTTGCCGAGTGCTCGCTACGCAATTCGAGCGCGACCCGCTTTGCGCTGCACCGACGAACCAACCGAACCGCCACCCGACATACAAGCTGGCAACATATGTTTGCAATGCACACATGTGTTGAGCCCAACCCGGTAATGCATAAATAAGCCGTGCGTTAAACCACCTCACACGAATAAAGAAGTCCTAACACGAAAACGAGAAAAACCTAACAAAACACACAACGAAAGTACATTTCTGACTTCGATGATAAACAATTGGACGCATCAATATGATATGTCAGAATGCTGTTTGTGAGATTAGTGGTTATTTCGATCGGGCTAACTCCTACAGATAAAAACACAGATCGCCCCAATTTCCTTAGTAACATGTATGAAAGTTTTTAACCGCTCTACACACACCGGCCGAATTTACGATGTCAGATTGAGACAAGATACAGGTTTCGACCACTCGTTCAACGGTAACATTAACGGTACGGGCACAAAAATCGTGCACTATACAGAAAAATCCCAAATAATGCCAATTCTGATCATGCATTTACAAACCATATTATCATCAAAACGGCACACATTTCAAGATGCATTTATGGCGCATCATAATATATGATCATCACATATTGCCGAAACTACAAAAAAATATCAAGAAATTTTTGTTTATAATGGGCTAATAACAGCCAGGACTTATGAAAAAAAATAATAAACCGGAAATTGCTAGATAACAAGGATGTACGAGGCCAAAAACTAATATCTTGGCACCAGTTCTTTTTTAAATTCACAAAGACAATTCGCATCTCTGTGTACGTACAACACAGCGGTCGACAGCAACATGTGTATCTTAGCGGAAACGTAACTAACCAAAAATAGACTAACCAGGGTCTCGCGTTCGAGCCTTCCGTGTACTTGTGCAAAAAGGAAGTGAGTGCGTTGAGCATTCGCTCATCATTAATTAGCTGACTATATCGAACAACGCCCGTAGGCAGGACGAGAAGGACAATGACATTAGCATTTGAAGGAAGAAAATGCGTCACAAATGCGTACAATGACGCGACGACATTCGAGCACGCACGGCAAGATGGCCGCCGCGGCGTCAGCTGATTGCGCACACGCTGCGCAGCTGTAAACCCCGCTTCGCGTATATCGCTCTCTCTTTCATTCGCACAGATTAATAGGCACAATAGAATCACCCAGTCATTGTTTGGAACACAATGCCTGACTACACACTTTGCTGCTAAACATTTTATCTGTGCTGCGCACCCAATTGTATCGGTTGCACAGGTAGAATTCCAATGTAGAGCTAAAGATCACACATAACCGAATGTGGCTCAAAAAACATTTGAGGAAAAAGAAAAATGAAAGCGATGCCAGACTGGCATTGCCATATATATCATTACTAGTCATTAAGTCAAGCTATCAATACAAAACGTAACTATTCTAATAACAATTTAACCATAGTGGGGTATTTCTCACTGAGATACTATGCCCACGTAGCCATACAATTTAACTAACTTTAAAACGTGATTAGTCGTAAAAACGTCGGTGGTGGAAACGTGACAAAGTTTGAAAACATTACCTTTACAAAATTTGTTTCTGCAACATTTTAATTGCTTTCTCGAATTCAGAAACACGGCGGATAAGAATGAAAAGACTGTTCCTTGAAGCCAAATATCTAGTGCCTAAAAAATTAATACACGATAAAATAAATGTAAAACAAACACTTAAGACCACCGTGAAGTTTGGCAGTATTTCATTATTTGCATAGTTAATACATTGAAGGACACAAAAGTGCGATTTCATCAATTCCAGCTTTAACCTGATTGCAAATTTCGACCGAATCCTGTAAGCAGGGCAAAACAACATCTAGACAACGGCAACAGGTTAAGACAAAACGTTCAGTTTCCTATACTTTATTTCCATGCTAAAGGTGTATCAACAAAATAATTTCGTTCACTACCTTCAATTACTAAACATAAAATTCGGGGTTTGTGCAAGCTCATTCTTAATAGGAATAAGTGTTCGTAACAGCACTCATTTTAAAAAATTATTTAAAATAAAGTGCAACAAAATTAAACGAAGATACACATTACACTACAAGGTAATTAGAGAACAAACGATAAACTAATTATTCTCATTTCTAAGAAGCCCAACAAAGCTACCAAACAAGAAACAAATGACGAATAACTTTTGTGCATTCTAAAACTTACCATCGATTTTATGAAGAAGTCTCTAAATGTCTAATCACGACCATTACCTAATGTTAATAAAACATTATCTAAATTAGGTCTTTAACAAATATTGGCAATAATAACCATTATTTTATCCTTAATCAAAGAATGTTCTCGAAAAATACTACACTAATATACAATTGAAATGAAAATGTAATAGTTACCTTATTTAGTAATTATAGTTAACAGGAGTGAGGCACTAACAATAATATGCAAGTTTACGCTACGTTCGGATAATTAACTAACCTAGGTAATTCGTGAATAAAATGTGACAAACATTTTGCAATACCAGCAAAACAGCATATGCGCAGATTGAAAAATAATTAAATCTCGACAATCTTTATGAATAGGACCCAACAAATGGCATGAAAGTTCTTAACACGTGAGGACGTTGACCTTCTGGCACCAAGGTCGGGGCGGCGGCCTTCACACAGCCTCGTCTAGTGGAGGTGCAGCCTCCTTGCGGGCACATTTCGAGACGTAAACGTACACAAAACCATCACACACAGAAACACTACGATATTACCTTCAAGTGGAAACACGAGCCCATGGCCACGTAGAAATTACGCTCGAAAGCGTCTCATTGCCACAAAACCCGTATCACTAGCACTTCTCACAATAGAGAATAACACGTACACTAATTCGCACTATATCAGAGTAGATAAGGTGCATTAGTTGCATCTGACGGTAACAAACACTTTGAAGAAGCACGGACGTAAAGCGTGTTCGGCCTCGCGTGGACGAGCTCCGGCGCGCACGGCCTGTTGGCAAGAACTGAACGAAGCGTAGCGGGTGTCTCAGCCAGCGACGGACGCCCGTCGCGCCCGCCGCCGCCACCGCCGCCGCCTGCAGTTATTCGCGTCATAGCAATCCACACGCGCACGCACTCACCAATACAAACAAGCCACCGACCGCTGGTTGATAAACACATGCCCGACTCGAGCGGCCATCCACAGATCACACTTGAAATCATATCACTACATTAGCACCGCCGCCGACTCACAAACAACTTTACCTCGCATGCCTCGTGTCGTGATCTCAGCATCTAGATCTAACTGGCTCAACTTTTCAAATTAAGGATAAACTTATTGATGATTCATTAGGGAAGTTCTATCTAATTCCTAGTTACATGTACTAACGGCATGAGTAATCAAAAATTTTTTACAAATAAGGAAACCTTCAAGTTTTCAAAAATACTAATTTTAGCTGTTCAAGTGGGTGTTCAAAACACGAATCGAGTCCTATTCACACACATAATTAGCAACTGACAATAATCACCGGTTGTCTGGTATTACCGAACTTAGTAGTAAAAAATAATGACAACTTAATTGTGAAAACAGTAAATCAACAAGTAGCCGATTCTTTTCTACCATCTACATCCTATAACATCTATAATTGAGTGAATCATACTTTGGGACTTAACCAGAACTCGGAACGTACTTTGACTCAAAAGATGAAAGTGAAAACAGAGATCAATATTCGGATGTCACCGGCCATTCAACTTGAAATATGTTAAACAAACGGAAAATTCAAATCAAGGAATATTGTTTTTCGTCCTTATGGGGAATACTTGCCCTTACGAATACATAGTAAAGGAAAATACGAACCTTTCGCTTCTCATTTCGGCTCGATAGCACGTTTTGCGTACTAGTTTTCGATGTTGTCAATGATAGATACAATAACAATAGCGATAATGTCGAGCTACGAAGTGATCAGATGTTGCAACAAAGACTTGTGTGAAGTAGCGGATAGACGGCGAGGGCAGCGTCGGCGCGACGGCGGAGGCGGAGGCGACAGACGCAGACAAAGCCGAGTCGTCGATCTCCCCCGAATTAGTCCTGGGCCAGGGCGCTGACCTCGCCACGCGCCCGCCGCACCACCGCTGGTTCATAAATCCCAGCCCTAACTGCGCAATACGCGAAGTCCATGATCGGACCCGGTGCACCAACAATGTGAGCTTTTGTTGCTGCCAATTTCAGTTTAATGTAAACAAGACGTGACTAATTCAATACAAATTTCTTTGTGACAATTGAATGTCTACTAAGTTTTGCAAGTTTAACACAAAGCTCAAAAGCACAAAGAAAATCGAAGAAAGGTCATTGAAGTCCACAAATGAGCACATGCTAATAAAGTTTCACCGAAAAAGCCACACTGGAACAACAACGTGACACAACGTCGTTTCTTTCAAAGACGTAGTAATATTAGAAGCCAATACGTAAGTCGTGCGACTTCTAATTCATATACACAACAAATACCACCAAAGTCAGTCATCACACATTAACAAAAAAACGTTTTCGCCACATAAAACGAATCTAATACGGACATCATTGACTGCTTTGAGCAAGTGGCCTCTACATTTTGCAAAAATTTTATCTCATTATCTTAAAAAATTTGAAATCTACAAAAATCCACATGATACTCACTATTAATTTATCTACAATATTGTAGCTTGATCAACTGGTTGGCTGTGGTTTGCAGTAACACTGCAGCACCTTAAAGTCAATCAAGTAAAGTTATTGCTAAAAGTATGTAGTAAGTAGGTACTTGGATAAAGCTATTTGTCACAAATTCGTCATACTATAAAGAACAAACATTTTTTTTCTTTGAATGCAGTTTTCTTTGAACATGTCCCAAGCCTCCTTTGTTAGATTAGAACATACCTGATGTTGGAAGAGTGAGTTCCGTACCAGACAAATGTCTTTCCAAGTGCGCAGGCCCTTCAGTTCACAACCAGGCGACACCACGTCAGTGCAGTGGAGGTTAGCATCCACCGGCATCACAAAGAATGGTTACACCACCTGCACCAAACCAAAATCATGCTCAGATTTTATGGATTTAAACCACAATGTTTAGAGACAATGAACCCAACATGCACAACTTTTATATTTCAGAATAAAGTACTTCCACTTGAGCATTTTTTTGTTTTGTTAACACACAAAAATTGAAACAGTGAAGATTAATTAGAAATCAAAAGAAATAAAAACAAGTGCAAAAAAAATTTTGAGCAAAATGAAAACAAAATCCAAAACACAAGATTTACAGCAAGTGAGGCCTTGTGTGACATATAAGAACTAAGTAAAAATCAAAGCATAAAGTGCTGCATATACAATGCTACGCCAATCTTGCCACAAGGTAGGTAAATTCCCAAGTCATCATAATACTAAAATTGCCTTAAAAATCAAATACTGCTCAATAAACTGAGTTAACTAGATGTTTGAAAACCTGCCCAAATAACTATTTCTCCATATTTAGCAGCAAAACCTGAAATCAGCCAGACCACACTGCTAGTAGCCATCTATGGCACTGCATAGCCCTAAACGCATGCTGCACTAGATCTGAAAAGTAAGTTCTTAAAACCTACAATTTCTAAAATAGTTTGCTATCTATTCACAGTTTATCATAGCTTCAATATTTGAACAGCTGATAACATGTTATCTCTCTAATAGAACAATAAATGGAGCAATCTCGCATTCATGTATCACTGATGTTTGTGATGCGCCTTTTTATTTCAATGTGTACAATTTGTGTGGAGTTATTACTCTATTGTCTGTATCCTAGTAGTATTGTATATACATGTATAACAATTGTGACAACTACCCTTAAGCACTGCATAAAATATATGTGTGAATCTTAATATATTATATGTGTGTGCATTCACTTATACTATTCCATAGTCTTGAATATTTTCTTAAATATTGATCATACTCAATTATGCATAAATATAAAAATTAAAATTTTATCAAAATATTGCTTTAATTAAATTTTTATTGAATTGATATTCAATGATTTTTTGTGAAATTACTCCACTTACTGCATTGACTTACAATTATATGGACGTCGGGTCCGCGCTAAAAAGTGTCCGCACTTGTAAGGCGCTAAAATCGTATACAGAGCGCCAAACTCCGCTTTAGTCTTCATTTGTTCGACTGACAGCGCGATACTGCGATGACATTACAATTTAAATTTCGAATAGGTTGACTTGGGACATTTTTTTCGTGGTTTTTGTATTAGACCCGTCGTCCATTTATTTGTAAGTCAATGACTTACTGTTATAATTATTAATACAAAGATCGAACACTCAAAAAAAATTCCATCAATCCGGTCGGATTCGAACCAACGTCTTCTTGCATACCGTGCCAGACGCTATACAAACTAAGCCACGGAACGAACCAACGGACCTCACGAATTTTTCTATGTGCTTGCGTCGTGTCTTTGTACTTGGTCTTTCAACGACTTTTTAGTCGTAGCGCCATCTATGAGAAATCTATTGCAGATTTATCACCCAGTTAGTACCTTTACAGCTACCAGTCCTGGCGAGAGATAAAATAAATATTGCTTTTTTTACAACCTCAAGTATGCAAAGTTCTTGTAAGGCAATAGACACAGGGATAGAGAGTATAAGTTTTTCATTAATAATTTTTCACAAATAATTCTTAAGCATTGCTGCACATCTTCAGATATAAGACCAGGACATGATCTCCCATCGTTTGTAGTGTCACTTGGAGCTTCAAATCGCAAAGATTTAAGGAGCACTGCCATTGTGCCTGTCACCCTAAGAAATAAGTTGATAAGTCCCATGTGCTTGTAATTTCAACAGTATCCTTACCCTTCAAAACCAGAACACAGAAATGCTTACATTACTTCTTGGCGGCAGACGAGTTCATAAAAATGTGATTAAAATCATAAAAAAAGTTGATTGACCCACATAGGCAAAAACATAGACTTCACTAACTTAAATATGAAATTCATTAAAATTTAATTAATAATCTATATAATTTTTCTTTATTTAGCTTCCTACCACAAGGCAAAAACTAAACCCCCTATGATATACATATCTAAGTACCGTTATTTGTTATATAAAATGTAGTTGGGAGTAGTTAACTGCCTCCTTTAACTTGAAATGCCTGGTCAAACGGTTACCATGCCGGACTGCCACGGTCCCAGGTTCAATTCCCGGGCTGGGAGAAATATAATAAATTCTGGTATGTTGTTACATTCAAATATTCATTTTATATTATAAATTTCTTTGAATATTGATACAAACAATAACTGAAAATAATTTTGAAAATGCACAGAACAAGAAAATGGCAATTTATCATTCATCTAACCCACACAGGGTCAGCATAAAAGGCTATGGCTAATCACATGTGGCCCATACTACCCACTCAATGGGTATTTTGTCTATGCATTCAAATAAAGAGAATCCAATATTGTCACTATACCGCGAAAACCAATTATCTGGATTGGGAAAGGAAATGGTAACATAATTGAAAAATGTAATATATTTGAGATCATCTGTTACAAATTAACAACTATTTGTAAGAAATATTCATATTTGAAATTTCAATTGCATTTGTTCCAAAATATTTTTTTTGTGACATAAAATTTATTTTCCCAGTATAATGGCGATATTATTTATGTAACCTAATGCCTACACTGTCAGTCTTACAATCCTTTACATTCATAAGTTAGTTTTCAGAGCTCTATTTGATTCAATAGGTTAAGTAAGGCCCATTTATTAATGCTCCAAGCAATCATACATTTGAGCATGTGTGAGTTTTAATGAGTCACGCCATCTAACCTCAATTTCTAATTTCGCAGAATTAATCACACAACTTATTCATTTTAAACTCCAATATATTACATGCAAAAAATAATACCCACAGTCCATACTTTATCTGATATTCATCCATGTAAAGATGATGATTGATAACGTAGGTACATCTCCGCCCACAGTTCTACAGCATCTCTATTTCAATAGGCATAAGGTTTAACTAAAACAATACAAACAACATGCGCTAATATTAAGATCCTACACAACATACATAGTCTCAATGAAAATTACGTAAACTCTGAAAACAGGACGATGTAAAACGTTAAAATATACATTGACACTACGTTACTTCACAACAGGAAGTAGGGGGTACTTGCCCAAATCGAAAAAAGTTTTATGCATGTGCAACGATTACGTAGATGAATATGTAAAATTAACAATTATTTTATATCCTCAAGCAAATAACAGTGATTCTGATGTTACTAACGCAACAAAATGCTCAAGATAAGTACTATACTCCAACTAAGCCTTCCGTGAAGGTGGTGGTGTCATACAAAAAATGCGTAATGAATAGATATGCATTCATGCACTCCTTTGGGCTTTCAACCCTTACAACGTGGTGAATTCTAAAGCGCGTATGTAGAACATGTTCAAATAATCTCAAAAGCGAACTACAATAACTTTAAATAACAGTAACAAAGAAAATATTGAAGAATTTACTAATTGGCATTCACGAAGAAAATGGCGTCATATCACTGGTCACAGAACAAGGTACAATTTCGTCATATAGAAGCACATATCACAGTCACAAACAAACACCACAAAAAGATGAAAACATGCGTTACAAATGATTTTCTCCCTAAAATTACTCACTTTGAATAAGAATTCCAAAGAAAATCATCCAAAATATCAAAGGACTGATGACAAGGCACTCCACTCACCGTTTGCAAAACCCTGACTGAGTCACGTGACTAAACAGTATTGCCAACAAACAGAATTTAGTGTTGCGTTAACTTAGTTTTTCGATATAAATATGAAATCGACTTTAAGTGAAAAAATGAGTTTAATGTATATTTGCTTACACATTTTAACGATTTTACATTTTAAAATTCGATTTACAAAACGTTATCACTTTTTTATTTCATTAGTTGTCGATGGAAAATATCAGTAGTAAAAGCTTGGAAATAAATCTATTATTTTTAGTACAGGCAGAAGAAAAAATAATATAATATAATAATAGGTTTTAATAGTTACATTTTTTACGCGAATTAATTTTTAGTTTATGTATAATACGTTGTGCGTTTCTTGATTATTTGTTACCATTAAGCTGATGGCTCTGAAGTCAATGCTTTATAAATAAATAACTAATAAATGGTACAAGCAAACAATAAAGCCTTCTTTTTTTTAATCTATATTTATTTATAGAGGGTTTTTCAAATGCCACTCTCATAGTGGCTCTCTTAGAGTCGTATTCTAGAATTGTACTCAATGCTCAAGTCAGGACTTGAGTATGATTTAAACCACTAGAAATCATACTGAAGCCCTTGCGTATTTCCAGTGCTTGAAATCATGCTCAAGTCCTGACTTGAGCATTGAGTAGAGTTCTGGAATATGACCCTTAATCTACACATTTCTTAACTTAATTGTTTCCATAATTTAAATACTAGGTCAAGAGCACGTCAAGCTTCACAGACAATGTTGAAAGTCAACTATGTCCCGCTTGTAGTAGCATTATTATGCGACTTGACGGAGAAACTACTAGGTTGCTATATGCTTTAATAACTTTTTTAAGAAACACCACCATAATAATTACAAGGAGGAATTATTTTGTGTAGTTTCAATTTGGTTTGATTATGTTTTATACATTGATATTTTTTTCCCGACCTTACTATAAAGCTATTTAAGTTTTAAAGGCAAATTTTAGAAATATACTTAAGTTACTAATTATGAAGGATTTCAGAAGTAAGTAATTTCTACTTAGCATTGATATCACAGCACTTATTTCATAATAATTATTAGTACGATTGACGATTATCAATATTATTATGAGGAATTAAATATTATAAGACCAATATGTATCTTCCAGGTACTTGAAACAGTAAAAGATGTGTAAAAATTATGTAAATAATACTAACTCCACCAACAACAACAACAATCAACAGCGAAAAATCGATTTATATACTGTAATTAATATTGTACATAAATCGATTTTACTCTTGTGTTTACGTTTAAATTCTATCAGTTCAATGCAGCATTATTTATTAATGTTGCCACACAAAAACATAATACGTTTTTGTTACTTGATTAAAATTTAGTCTTGGCTGTATGGCGCATTAGTGCTTTTGCCTTTTCCAATAGAAAAAACAGTGCCAAAAAAATGTCTAATAATTTATTTTATTTACCTTGCACAACCACTTTCTCAATAATACATTAAAAAAAACGTTGGTGCTAGTGTCAAGTAGTACATAGTACATAACAATGCTTATATACTTTTTCCAATATGTGTTTAAAAATGTCATTGTCACATTGTGGGCGGGTTTTAATCTTAGAGTATGGAAAAAAATAAGGTTTTAATAGTTACATTTTCTTACACGAATTAATTTTTAGTTTATGTATATTACGTTGTGCGTTTCTTGATTATTTGTTACCATTAAGCTGATGTCTCTGAAGCCAATGCTTTATAAATAAACAAATAAAAATTGTCAAATTGTCATTGTCAAGTTGTCAACTACACTACCTATATCAACCTATATTATAATAGATTATGTGAGTGGAAAAAAAATATCTTATCGAAAGCACCGTAGGTTTAGTGGTTATGAAAATCTACGTTTCCGTATTGATTACATAGATATAGTGTATGTGCTGCATTAATTCAGCTGTTTATAATTTCTACATCTTTTTACATTTACGCAGCCATGCCCACGTTATCAGTAAAAAGAGACTTACTTTTTGAAGCCCTTGGTCGAGCATACAGTAAGTAAAACTTTTAAAACTAAATGTACGTTCTTCTACGTGGCGAATACCTGAATTATAACATAAAGGTGTATAGGTATTTCAGAAACACGCCACGTGGTATTCATTCAAATATGTACAATTACTAAAATCCAAAGTGAGCTAATAAACATTAATTTCAAAATCAGTCTCAGAATTCAAGCAATTAAATTTAATTTTTCAGCCGATGATGAGTTTCAAGACTTGTGTTTCGAATTTGGACTGGAGCTCGATGAAGTCGTAAGTGATTTATAATATTTAATGACGATGGTATAGTCTATAGTACCTACTTATATTATAAATATGTTTATGCTAATTGCCTCACATTTACTAATAACTAATGTAGTACTAATGTTGTAATTTGCAGACAACAGAAAAACAGATGCTTATGAAAGAGCAGGGTGACCATGTGGGATCTGGTATATCTGAGGAGGTCCTGTACAGAATTGACATCCCTGCCAATCGATATGACCTGTTATGCCTGGAGGGGCTGGTCAATGGATTGCTTGTGTTCCAGGGCAAGTGAGTTTTGCAATTTTGGACATCACACATGCATTGTATTGAAACAGTTGAGACTTGCTTTTTTTCAAGAAAGACTGTGCAATACTTGATGATAAGAACATTAATTCATCAAGTATCACACTGTTGTATGTAATATTGATGACCAATGCAATGAATCGATTTTCATTGCATTACTGGTGGTATGGTTTTCTGACAGTACAGAACCAGCCCGGGTAGGTACTCCTGCACTACTTACTGCAGTACTCCTGTTATCTAAATTGAATGCCCTACCCAAGTAGGGCTATCCCGATCCCAGGCACACAAGACTGAAGGTGATTTGTGCAATGGCTGCCAACATATTTGAGATATTAAGGATACTTTCTTAGTATTGTAAATGTGTATTGGCAGTGGTTACCCTTACCATTAGGTGAACCATCTGACTGATTTTATTCGACTACAATATTATGTTATGTTTTATTGTATCTCTATTTCAGGAAATCACCACCCCAGTACAAGCTTAAGAAATATGAAGACTGCTACTCCTTACACTTGACACCTGACACTGCACAAATCAGACCGTATGCTGTTGCTGCTGTTCTAAAGGGCATCCACTTCACAAAGGCATCTTATGACAGTTTCATAGATTTGCAGGTGGAACAGTAACACAATTTCTAATCCCTATTACTTAAAAATTATGCACATTAGATCATTTAAAAAATTAGCATCAATTGTAAAGGAAACCAGCAATTTTAACTACTTTACAAAATGTAATAAATCTGAAATACTGGGATAATATGGATAATATTGTTAATTTTCAAATAGTGTTTTTTTGTATAGAACAATCACAGATATCTAAATGAATTATTTTTAAGTAGATTTCTATATTAAATGTTAATTTTGAACCTTATCTCACCACTAAAACCAAACTTTCAAACAGTATTATATTACAATTCCAGGACAAATTGCACCAGAACATCTGTCGCAAGCGAACGCTTGTGGCAATCGGCACTCATGATTTAGATACAATTCAGGGTCCATTTGTCTTCGATGCGTTACCACCCAAGGATATTAAGTTTAAAGCTCTCAATCAGCAAAAGGAAATGACGGCACCTGAGCTCATGGAGTTGTATTCGGTGAGAGATTTGCATATTTTTTTTATAATACCAAGTAATAGGACGAACAAGTGGTACCTGCACTCCTATCCATAACCATTGCAGTGCCATTCAGAGCAGCACCTTTTCACCTTTTAAACCAGAATGCAGAATGCAGTTATGCTCACGTTACAGCTTGACCGCAGAAATAGGTATAGTGGCAGTACTTTCCTGGACGAACTCGTTCACAAGGAGCTCTACTGCTACTTATTTCATATTTAGGTAACTTTATATAACTTTGAAAATATGTTGAGATAACCTCACTAAAAAAAATTTTGATCACTGTACTACTATGAATAAGGATTTGTTCATTATTCTGGAAACTGAGTAGTATGTGTCTAGAAAAGACCCAGGTACTTAGATAGCCAACGAAACAAAGCCTATTTGTTAAGTCTGTGATATATTGCAAGATCATTGGTTGAATATAGACTTGTGCCTGCTCTGTCTTTAGAGGGAGCAATTCCATTTAGTTCATCTGGACAAATGAACTAATTTGGTATTTTAGTTCTTTTAGTTCCTTAGTTCAGTTTGATCCGGGAATTGGGAAGGAGTAGGAACTGTTTGAGTCTGAAGGACACTGAATGAAATGTTATTGATTATTGATTTAAATAGGCATGCCGTATTGTTTTTCCTCTTTGCTACAGGTACCTCTTGTGTTTTCAAATAAATAAAAATTTCATATTTGTAATTATTGTCTTTGTATTTTTTTAAATTTTACATTATAATTTTATTTCAAAATACGCATACAATTGTTCTATTTGAGTTTGTTACTTTATATATGTTTAATAATACGTATAACATATATACCTACATAACAATAAATATGAAAAAAGTTTATTGCATACTTATAAGTTTATATTTGAGTCTTAAAAAAGATGACAAGGTTCAACATGCATCTCACTCGAAATTGTATGCTAAATGCAATGATAGTCCACTAATTGTCTCGTTCGCACCATTTCGCCTCGCGTCTTTGAACTGAAAGAATGAAAGAACTAAAAAGATAGGTGAATTATTAAAATCGTCTGTGACTCTGCAAACAATTTCCATTCATACATTATAACTTAAGATCGTGCACAAGAAACTAGTTCCTTTAGGTCAGTGTTAGGAATTAATTCCTAACAGTTCCTAGTTCACGAAGTACTTAAGCCTAGTTGAATAGAACATTGATCTTATGAGCATATGGATCGCTAGCCTCTGCTCACATAATACACAGAAGAATCTGTATAGTGTAGTGAATGGCAGGTTTGCTACAAGTCTCTTGAAAATGTCCATGATAGTGGATCAGTAGAACTCAATTAAGTAAGTAGTGATTGAAGAGCTCACTGGTTTATTCTCTAATGTAAATAATTTATCTTAAATAAATAAATGTAAAAAATGTAAAAAAATAAATAAATGCCATATTCAAAATGTATAGTTTTGATCTGCATCATGGAAAGAGTTAAAAAAAAACTATTATGCAGAAGAAGCATATTACATTTTTTTTAAAATTGTAAATATAAGACTGTCTGCCTAATGTCATTAGCATTATCATTATTCAGTAGTAATAGTAAAATGTTTCGTCCTCCAGGACAGACTAAGGCATACTGCCCAATCTTAGATTTCAGTTTTTCGTCAATATTTTATTTTATTAAGTCGAAGCCAAATGAAATTATATGAAATTTAAATAAATCTCCCCATGTTTCACCTAGACCCACGCGCAGCTCAAGCAGTACCTGCCAATAATTCGGGACAGCCCAGTGTACCCTATCATTAAAGACAAGAATGGCGTGGTGCTTTCCATGCCCCCCATCATCAATGGAGACCACTCCAAGATCACGCTCAATACTAAAAACGTATTTATTGAGTGCACTGCTACTGATTTAACAAAGGTTTGTAGAATTTCTACAAGTGCTAATTAATTTAACTTGGTTTGTTTGTTTTGGGGTATATCCACTCCATGCTGTGAATAGAAGATTATTGTTAAATATTAAAGTTTTTATAATTAAAAATTATTAACTCTCAGAAAAAAAATTGTCTCACATTTGTCTAGCCAAATATTTATTGTTTGTTGTGAAATGTTTAAAAACTTGATAGGTAATTTAGATGTCTGTAGTGTGCATTATTCCCTTTATGGAAAGTCAAAATTTTTGTCACAACCTAACTAAATGGGAAATGAAAGTATTTTTTCAGATATATTCTAATTTTTTTGTTAATTAACAATACCTACATTAGTAATTTAATAAAAATAAAATAATTTGTAAAACATAATGTAGCGTAAACTGGAATGTTCATTGGACAATTAAAAATAAATTAATTAATAACTTTTGTATCTATAGCGAAAAATAATGTGGTTAGTATTAATGTTAGACGTAACTGGTTGATGACTTTCCGAATTCAGTCAGCCGTGACCATGGGAAAGACCCAAAAAAAACAAATATATGCGATTAGATCCGAAAAAATAGTTTAATTTCCTATATGCAACAATCGCGAAAACTAACTAACTAAGGAACTGATTAAGTGGGTTCCACTATCGTGGACCCCCATTAACACCATAGTCTTCTAATTTTTTTCCCTGCCATGGACCCCTTGTAGGTCGGAGTGGACATCTGGGGATTGATATAGACCACTTTAAGCATCATCGTTCCAGACTTATGTCCGCTTGCATTAAACTTAGTATGTCTTTAACCAATGCTTAAATTGATAAGACACTCGTAACACAATGTATCAAGACTTTATTATACCAAATGATGGAACGAACAAGTCATGCGCCTATTGGTAAGCGACACGCCTGTCCATAACAAGCGACTGTCTTTTGCGTTACAAGCATTGCATTGGTTTAAGACGTGCTTAAGTTATAGCAAATGGACTTAACGTTCTCAAAAGGTATGCAGTAACACAGTATATACATTTTTCAGGCGATAGTAGTACTTGACACGTTAGTCTGCATGTTCTCGCGATACTGTGCTAACCAACACGAAGTGCAGCAGTGCAAGGTGTACGCGCCCGACGGCACGTACGAACTATACCCGCAGCTTAAAACCCGTGAAGAACGCATCAATGTCGATAAGGCAAATAATTATATTGGAATTAGGTGAGATGTGATCTTAATATATTTTTACCGTTACAGTTGTCGGCATTTTTAACTCGTATACGTAAAGCATTATCACCTTTGTTCATACAATTGATTTTTTGCCCCATTAGCTCGGAAAGGCTTTCGTTCTCATTACATAGGGCGCACTATAAGTTTCCGGAACTGGCCATTTACATAAACAATATTTAAAAAGTAATTACAACATTTGAAAATGGAACTCTTTGGCTGTAGAATACAGTTTGCTTCAACTGACTGTCACTTGTTTTTACATTGTGGCGTCATTTTAGAAATTGGTTGTCTACATCACCATGGATTTAACTCGTGAAAATTTTTGTAGTATGATTTTCTACGACTTAAGTGTAAATTAACAGCTCAGCGGAGCTTCGCTCGGCTTCAAACTGCTTTTGGCGATGAAACACCACGCAAGACCACTATTTATAGCTGGTTTGCAGAATTCAAACGCGGAATTCACACGATGAATCTCAGTGATGAATTTCGTGATGATCGCTCGTCCACTGCTGTCAACAACAAAAACATCGATGCTGTGCGCCGTATGATTGAAACAGACAGGCAAACCATGAGATTCGGGGCATCTTTAGGCATAGGCATGAGTCAAATACAATCAATACTACACAAACATTTGGGTGTGAAAAACCTGTGCTCTTGGTGGATCCCACACAATTTGACTGAGGCTCAAAAAACGGATCGCGTCACTTGGTGCAATGCCATGCTTACCAGATTCAACGAAGGGGCGTCAAATTTGGTGTGGGACATAGCAACAGGTGACAAAACATGGATTTATAGTTACGATCGCAAAACAAAGCAGCAATCGAGCATATGGGTCTTTCGATATGAGCCGAAACCAACCAAAGTGGCGCGCATGTAAAGTGCCTCTAAGCGGATGATTACTTCTTTTGTTAATAAAACTGGACACGTGGCTACTGTTGCTTTGGAGAATCGTTGTACCGTGAATAGTGATTGGTACACGACCAATTGTCTGCCGGAAGTTATTGACAAACTCTGTAAAAATAACCGTAAACGCCGTATCATCTTGCACCACGATAATGCCAGTTCTCACACGGCTAGACAGACAAATGAATTTTTGAAGGTGAACAACGTTGACCTTATGAGCCATCCCGCGTACAGTCCTGACCGTACGTCGCACCTTGTGACTTTTATTATTTCCATAAATTAAGAACCGGTAACGCGGTCAACGATTTTCATCACCTGAAGAGGCTGTCGAAGAGTATGAAGAATATGTTTCAGAGATTGTCACGGAGGAGTGGCATAAATGTTTTCAAAATTGGTTCATTCGTATGAAAAAGTGCATTAACGCTAACGTATAATATTTTGAGAAACAATAAATTCAATTCTGACCATTTATATATAGTATTTTTTTCTTATTCATTCCGGAAACTTATAGTGCGCCTCACGTAGAAAACTGCGCGGAAAAGGTTTTTGAAATTCGAACTTTACGATGGACCGTGGTGCACCTAACTTTTACTTTCTTTGAAAAAAAATATACGATAATGACACGTTCAACTACGCAATTTGTCGTACGTTGTTTGTGTAAAATCATGGTCAATATGTACGTAATATAAATCCGTTGGTTTTATGTTTATTATTGTTGACATTAAATTGACAACGATAGCTAATTTTGTTAATTAAAATATTTTAATTAGTCGAAGAACTAAACTGATTTGTTATAGTTGAACTGTTTTCCTTTCATCTACCATTTTCCTCGCTATAGTGATATGAAAAGTTGTGCGTGTCACTCGGCAACAAAGTTGTTTTGCGTATATATAAAATAATTTATTAATAGGACTTGTTAGACACGAGCTACAGTCGCCGCTATCTGAGCCGATAATACGATGCCCTGAAAAATCACTTTAGTGCTAGTTAGTTAGGCTTATTGACCTACATGAACATGCTTTCATTGTGCCTGGTAATGCATTTTAAATTACAACAACCATACTACATAAATCTTCTTTTTCAATTCAATGATCTTATCATTTTTGCTACTCTTTCTTTTTTGTCTATGGAGTAAAATATCATTAGCAGGGTTGCCAGTTTTCGTAAAATTTTAAACAATCATAATTAAAAGTTATTATCGAGAATTTTATGGATAGATTGTGACAATAGGTAAAATTTTGCCCAAAATATCTGAATTGTGAATGTTACGACGTTCTAATGATTACTAATTGCGTTATTGTATTCTTCATTCTTATTTTGACATTTGGTTTCTTAGTATCGAAATAAATTCTTAGTCATACTACACATTTTAATAACGACTGGCGGATTTGATTATGTATATTATATTCAAATGATGTGTGATGTATTTTTTATACAGATACTGCTAGTATTATACTTTAGTGTATATATGAATCTTTAAAAATTAACAAGTTTGACTATTTATTTCATAAGCGTAACTAACATTCAGTCGATAGTCGATATAATATTTATCGACTGCAATCACTAGCTCTTTTACTCCATCTTCAAAAAAGACACGATGTTGGGGCCTATGTTGTTAAATTTGTTTCAGCTACATCATCTAAAATCAAAATCAAAATAATCTTTATTTCATAGGCAAGCATTATTACACTTGAAATCGTCACATGGGTTAAACTCTACCGCTCATTCGTAAGGCAGATTCCCCTGAGAAGAGTGAGCAAGAAACTCTAGGGGTTGCTCTTTGTAAATAACATTTGTACACATTCAACATTTACAATAGGTATATATTTTTTTAAACATCAGCGATTGAGACTACCTCCATAAGCTAAAAGGTTTACTACCACGGATTTTTGTCATCCAAGTACGCAGAAGTTGTATAAATAACCTTTACTATAAAGTTTTTGTTTCACTATAGTTTTAAATCTCGTGAAAGCCAAATTTTGTATATCAACCGGAATCTTGTTATAGAAGCGTATACATTGTCCCTTAAATGAATTTGTGACAAAATCTATATCATATATCATCTTCTTGGTTTCTTGATGATTTCCGACCTCCGAAGAGGCTGAGCTGCTATATAAAGTAGTTAAGGAGACAATTAGGTTAAGAAACGTGTAAATTAAGAGAGCCACTATGAGGTTGGCATTTGTGGAACCCTCTATAAACAAGGATTTAAAAAAAAATCTGTTCCTAGTTTTAATAATTACATAAATCATTCCAGAGAAAATGGCGACAACCTAGCAGCGCTACTATCGCGAATGTGTCTCACATCGACACACGAAGACTCCGAGCTGATAGTACAGGTCCCACCTTCGAGACATGACGTCATCCACGCCTGTGACTTGTACGAGGACATTGCTATCGCTTACGGGTAAGTATTAACACACAAAGATTATACTTGTAGGAGTGAAGTACGACTGATGCTTAAAAATTTACCAGATTGATTTGATATATAATTTAATCAATCAACTTAAGGTACAACCGTATCCCCCGCCGCGCGACGCGGGTAGTAACGAATGGCGGGCAGGACCCCATCAACAAGCTCACTGAACAGCTACGGCAAGAGTGCGCACATGCAGGATACACCGAGGCTCTCACCTTCACGCTTGTAAGTATAGTAAACTGAGTTCTTTTTAACCATAAAATGAAGGCGCCAATATATTTTTTAAATCACTTTGCATTTGACCTCCATCTCACCTGATGGAAAGTGATCACTCCTTAATAATGCCTATTCACTCTCGCCTTGAAAAGGTCCAAGTTATAGCGTTCGGGGAATATGTCCACAGGCAGGGAATTCCACTCTCTAGCCGCTCGCCATATAAATGTGGAAACGAAACACTTCGTGCGAATCCTGGGAATATCCACAACATAGGCTGGAATCCCAGCCTTCGTCTAGTACCCTCATAATGGAAAGGGAAAGGCGGAATCAAATTATGTAATTCCATCGCACACTCTCCGTGATATATCCTGTAGAATACCGACAAGCAGGCAACTTTACGGCGGTGTTCAAGGCTTTGCAGCTTCGCCTCAACTAATTCCGAGTTACCGATAAGCCTTTTGGCACGCTAGTCGATTGAATCCAAGGTAGCCAGTTGAAATTTAGCAGACCTATCCTATAAGTGACAGCAGTACTTCATACACGACCGGACTTGTGCTTGGTACAGCTGAAGTAACTATCCCGATGTCACTATCAACTTCCGATAGTCTTGTCGTCAGTTGACTAAATTAGAAGATAATACCTCGGTGGCCAAACGGTTACCATTCTGGACTGCCACACAGAACACACTGGTTCGATTCCCAGGCCGGGAGAAATATTTGTATGGCGTACATTTATTTCTCTCGTGAGTTTGGATGTAATTTGTGGTTGTCTATGTGTGTCCCCATGGCACCTGCGATACAGGGTTTCCCCAGTTTGGCTATGAGTGTGTACGTATACATATACAGTCTGCATATTTGAAAGTGGGACATACTTATAGAGTGCGCTATATTCCTGACTCTGAACCCAAAGAAATAATAAAGTAATGAACTTAAACTTTACAAAAAAAATTTTTTTTTTTTAACGATTATACTTGAGAACAACATTAGTTATCGAAATCTATGCACATCACTATTATGGCTCCATGGATGGATGCAGCGGCGGGTGACGGTACGGCGGCGAAAAACAAAGCACAGGTCGGGAGTGGGGGCGCGGGCGCATACGCGAAATTGCTGTTTGCAACTTCAGACAGTGCACGCGCGACCTTGACCTAACGAAGACACGTAAATTATTTGTACATCCGCTCGCCCGATCGTCGCAAAATGGTTATTTATTCCAACGTCGAATTGATTGAGATGGTGCGACTTTACGCAATAACTGGTGATAGTGACAATGGAGATACGCGGAGGAGTTGAACAGTGTCGAAGTGTTGCGTGAGAGTATTATCTCAGCATTTTATACTGTGAGACAAAACGTGTTTTTGTTGTACAATTTAAAACAAAATTTACTATGCCGTGCTAGACTATGCATTGTGGAAAACGGTAGACATTTTGAACACGTGCTCCGTACCACGTAAGTGTAAATAACTAAAAAATCAATCATTGTAAATAATTTGATTTCACATTATCTACTCATTAACTACTTCAAAAACCTCAATTCTTATTAAATGATAACTAGCTACTATCGGCCGCTTTCTATATTCAATCTCAATCCATAATTTGCTATCTAAGCTTGAATAATCAATCCAAATCCTATTTTTACTATTTCAATAACCGGTCGATGGATCGTTATTCCGATCTTTTGCTTCAATCCATCTGTGGGATATGTGGGGTATGGCATTTTTAGATTGACATTTGTATGGTAGTGACAGATGTGCGCTTTCAATATGCAATCCATAGTTTTGACAAATCGGATTTTGCACGTGTTCGATCGATAGTAGCGATCCTCCAATTTTGACCGATTGTACTGTGTAATCGTGTAAAAATGGATGTTATTTTTAAGTGATAGCGACTGTGAACTTGAACATTTGCTCAGTTATCGGACTGGGATAATAGCGACAGCGACCAAGAGCAGCTTGAGTCCTCAAGAACGTTTAGGCGTATAAACTTCATGGTAAGTTTAACTGACGCTGAATTTACATCCAAACTTAGGCTGAACAAAACATCAGATGAATTTGTTTTAACTGAAATAATGCCGTTTATCAAAGTCAAATCAAAACGGTATTTTTATAATTTAGATTATTTATCACGTCACGAATACGAACAAACATCAACAAAACATAAATTGACACTAACATTTCGCCGCCGCCGCCGCGCGCCGTCCCTTTATTTTTTTCCATCCTATATGGCCGTCCCGCTCGTTTGACAATAAACGTTCCGTTCTGGACAATAGACGTTCCGTTCTGTTCCTCGAAACACGTTATTCTTGCCGTACTTACGGTTTAAATATTTTATACTTGAAAGTTTGCAATTAATTTATATTTTTGCCAAAATCACATGTAAAAATAAAATCTTAGAAACATAACCACCATTTTATTCACTGATTCATGTAATGATCTTTTACTCCGATTGCGTGGAACTAAACGTCAGAGAGGGAATAAATTTACGACCGATCCTTTTTTTAAGGGCGCTAGAGCCGAGATAGACATATTGAAATACAGATTCGGCAGCGATCGATGGATCGAATAAAATCTGGATAGAAAACAATCTTAGATTCAGGATCAAATATAGAAAGCGGCCGTAAATCATAAAATTATCTTTTTTTGTACGAAAAACATTTCGATGATAGTTCAAGTAAAAAATAATGTAACATAAGCTAAAACGTTAATGTGAAATCATTGTTATTGTTACTTTCTCACTTGGCACTCGCTTGGTAGTATTCCCATTGCACTCGAAGTCAAGCATAAAGGGAATCGGTTTATTCCTATGTACACTTCAAAACACATTTGTTACTCTACCTTCTTCATTCTACCTTATTAATAAGTACTAATGTTGTTCATTTAGCTTTAATTTGGTCATATAAAAGCCGAGCGCCGATGAAATATTTGTATCCTCACTAAGTCAAATAATCTTTATTTCATAAATAAGCAAATTACACTTGACATTGTTATCCTGCTTAAACTTTACTGCTCATTCGTAAGGCATATTCCCCTGAGAAGAATGAGCAAGAAACTCTAAGGGTGCTCTTTATAAATATACATTTGAATACATTTATCATTACAGTATTCAATTTAAACATCTAAGATAGAGACCACCTGCAAGAGCTAAACAGGTCACTACCACGGATTTATGTGATCCGAGTACGCGGAAGTTATATAACAAATAACCTTTACTATAAAGTTTTTGTTTCACTATAGTTTTAAACATCGTAAATGGCAAATTTTAAATATCATTCGGAATCTTATTATAGAAGCGTATACATTGCCCTTTAATTGAATTTTAAACTTTGTGAAGACGATTGTCAAGAACAGCAAGTTTATTTTTATTCCCTGCATTAATGTTATGTCTGTCACTATTTTTCATAAAAAAATTAATATTTTTCTTAACGTAAATAACATTTTCATAAATGTACTGTGACGTTAATGTAAGAATGTTAATCTCTTTAAACTTATTATCTCCCAAAGACACTCTGGGGCCCAGATTATAAATTGCCCTAACTGCATGTTTCTACTAATAACCATAATGCCATTAATCCTACTTAGCTATAATCGTTATTTTTTCCAGTGCTCAAGAGAAGATATAGCCACCAAGCTAGGCGTCAAAATTGAGGATGTACCTGCAGTTCACATCTCTAATCCTAAGACCTTAGAGTTCCAAGTGGTGCGCACATTGTTGCTGCCTGGTCTGCTGAAGACTCTGGCTTCTAATAAGAAAATGCCGCTGCCTCTTAAACTTTTTGAGATCAGTGACGTCGTGTTCAAGGATGATAAAGCTGGTAATAATAGAGCACATATCCTTGCTGTCTTATTTTAGACTATCCATGTGTACTTCCTGGTATTTACAAGCTTATTTCAATTTACTTCAATTCTATAAGGCATTTAAGGTTTGTGCGTGTGGGAGATGTTTTTATTTATTTATTAAGAGGGAGCGGAAAAATTCCTAATCTTCGATTTGATTTTAGAGGGGTATATCCACTTTAAAGTTAAAAGTAAAATATTGTGTAACTACACGATATATTCAAGCATAGACATTAATCAGAAACATAAATCAATAAAGTTTCCTCGATAGATAAAAATCACGAAATGACCTCTAATTTTCACATTTTTTTCGATTTATCCTCGAAATGCTACAGGGTATTAGGACAAAAATTAGATAATTAATTATATTTATGCATGACCGACAACTGTCACTACGGATTTTTTTTAATCCCTTTAGTTTTAGAGTTCGTCCGCTAAAACGAATTTGGTACTTTTAATGCGCAAACTTCAACATCTCCTGTCGCATGTCACGCGAACTTCAGGCATATATTTGTTTCACAAATTTGGGCGGAGCCAACGTCAAAACTTTTTTGGCATGAGAGCTCTTAAGCATTTCAAGCTGAGTTGCAAATACTTTTTACCTTACAATTTATACGTTACATTTTAAATTTTTACATTATACTACTCTTAAACTCAGCATGCTTCTTGGCATAGGCTTTTCTCCAACATGGGCCTGCAGTTAGCTTCAGCTCGTCCTCCCATCATTGATGTTGATGCCCTCTATTACGTTTTCCATCACGTGGGTACCAATTAATGACTACTTTGGGGTAGATATAGTTAAGAAATAAATTTTATAATTTAACTAGTGACTATTGAACAAAATTCATCGTCGCAATTTCCGCTGAGCTCGTTATTAATGTAGCCATTACCGTGGGGAGTCATCTGTCGCTAGCGACTTAAGACAGCTTTTATTGACATTGTACACTCAGCTGGTAGCAAGGTAGGCTGATGAGTCTTATTGTTTTTTTATGATACCAAGCACGAATAAGTCGCGCGCCTGGTGGTAAGCGACACGCCTGTCTATAACAGTAGTGCCGCTGAGTGTTTTAAATCACAAATATCTGAGGGGCACTGCAACTGCGCCAGTCACCCTGAGACATAAGTTGACAAGTCCCATGTGTCAGTAATTTCACCAACACTCTTCAAAACCGAAACGCAGCATAGCCTCATTACTGCTTAGCGGCAGAAATGGGTAAGGTGACAGTACTTCCCTCGACGAACTCTTTCACAAGGAGCTACTGCTACTGAATTGTAAGAAATTATAAGTGTTTTCTGTAATGAGGCAAGGTACATGGATATTTCGATATGTGCAGAGACCGGCGCGCGCAACGAGAGACGCGTGTGCGCAGTGCACTGCGGCCGCGCAGCGGGCTTCCAGTTCGTGCACGGCCTGCTGGACCGACTCATGGCGCTGCTGCGCGTACCCTGGGCCGCCGACGGGTATCAGCTCAGACAGTGCGAAGGTGCGCTCGTGAGCTTAACTTTTCCTAAAACATTATATTATATATATTAGCCCACTAAATGTAACTGCAACTAGAACTGCTTTTTTGAATTTTTTATAGATACAATACTTTGTAGTCATACAATACTCCTACTTCGGTGGGACTACAGACGATTTGTTTTCGTTAAGATGTTGAATTTCGTCATCCACATTTTTCTGCCATATTTTTAATGCTAGCACTGAAATTTAGTGGGAATGATGAATTATATTTTATTTCAGACTCTGCATACTTCCCCGGTCGCTGCGGCGAGATACTGCTGCGTGGCGAAGCAATCGGAAAGATAGGCGTAATCCATCCTAACGTGCTGGCCGCCTTTGACCTCACCAACCCCTGCTCCGCCCTGGAAATCAACATTGAGCCTTTTTTGTAATTCACAAATTATATATGCTCATTATACATTGTGTAAGCGTAAGGTGTCGCCAGGAAATTTTTATTACATTACGCGGTTTGAAAACCTTTTGAACGTCGTTTCGCTCACACGCTAATATAGTAAGTACATTTTGAAATAGAAAACTGCTGTAAGACTCTGACACAATAACTAAAATAATCATGAGCTTCCGCGGCGGTGAATTGGCGAAAGACTAATTTTTCACTGTTTTCATCAAGCCATCTCGCCGCCGAAGCTCATCATTAAGGACCACGGAGTGGTTTGAAATATGTCGAGCAAAAATAAATTCGACTTAAATACGAGATTAAGTTTTTATTGAATGCCAGGATTTTTGACCACCACGACATTCAATTATTATTTTTTTTGTGAATTACTCCACTAGTTTGTTATAATTATTAATACAAAGATCGAACACTTAGAAAAAATTCCTTCGATCCGGCCGGATTCGAACCGACGTCTCCTAGCAAACCGTGACAAACGCTATGTCAACTAAGCCACGGAACGAACCAGCGGACCCCACGAATTTTTCTGTTTTTGTTGTTTGTTTAGGTTTTTAACGACTTTTTGCCGTAGCGCCATCTGTGAGAATTCTATGAAAGTATTTCTTCACCAGTGGCTAGAGACTATGGGTCGTATTCTAGAACTCTACTCAATGCTCAAGTCAGGATAGCAATGGAAACACAAGCACTGGAAATACAACCCTAATGGCAGGGACTTGAGTATGATTTCGAGTGCTTTAAACCATACTCAAATCCTAACTTGAGCATTGAGTAGAGTTCTAGAATACGACCCTATGTCTGTCACGGTTTGCTAGGAGACGTCGGTTCGAATCCGGCCGGATCGAAGGAATTTTTTCCAAGTGTTCGATCTTTGCATTAATAATTAAATACGTGAGTTATCCATTGATTTAGTCAATATAGTACAGTTGAAAATTCTTTAAATCTTTCAATTTCATGAGAAAATTGCCGGGTGACACGTAACCTACAACAACCTGTATGTAACAATCTGCGTACAAAGGTGCCTTATGTAAGGATTATTGCGCCGATTTATAGTGTATCAAGTAATGTTGACAACACACTGAGTTGAATTTACATTTGAATTGTTAAGAACGGATGTGTGTGTGCCAAAGTGCACAGAATTCAAAACCAACCATATTGTGCAATTATTTGTGCTTAGAAACATTATATTTGAACCACCAAGAGATGTAAGGTTAACTTAGGATGTACTTTGTATTCTTCAACATTCAAATTACCTATTTTGAATAATTGGCAAATAAATTTGAAATAATTCAAAATATCATATATGTCTTAAGTAAGCAAAATACATTAAAAATTGTCAAATGATTAAACACTACTAATTTGTAAATCAAATTCCCTAAGAAGAATAAGTAAAAAACTAGGAATTGCTTTTTGTTTTGTTCATGTTATCATCGTCAGAAACAGTCTGAAAGAGCTGAAATACAATAGATTTTTGTAATTAAAGTATGCAGAAACTGTATAATATTAATAAATAACTTTTTGTATGTAACAACATGCAATTGCTTGTTTTTCACGAGAGTTTTAAACTTTTTAATTAGCAAATTTTTTAAATGAACAGGAAACTTATAGAAGATATACATGTATGTAGCGTATTGTCTCTTAAATAAATTTGTGAAGACGACTGCCAAGAACTGCCAATTTGTGCTTGTTCCTAATTACTATTATACTCCCGCCGTTAGTTGAAAGGGCGGTTATGACAGAAAACTCTTAATCAGCCAAGACCATGAGACAATGAAAGGGGCCGAAACGTTGGTTTTGTTTGATAAACAAATATACGCTATTTAGAACGGAAAAAAGTCTTTCATTTCCAATTAGAAGTTGCGTGTCATTTTCAATACAACTTGACTTGTGAGTCCCATTACAATTTAACATCTACATTTATACCTAAAAATACAACTGTGTCTATAAGATAATTTTTTTCGTTTTTAACTAGGATGGCAACTGTCTACGTACCATTAGGTAATGTAAATTTCACTAACTTAAGAACAGATTAGCTATAAACCGATCAACTTCTTTTGAAATGTAATTATTCACATTGTAGTAGGCACATTAGTGCATTTTCGGAAGATATCAGTGCTTTTTGTGTGCCTCTACCAAGAGTTTACTGTGACAGTTGTCGCTAGCGACCGCGTAAGTACTTCACAATTTTGTACGGCAAATTATACAGCGCCTCTAGCGTTCACCAGAAGAAACAACATTTTGTATACTAAAGATTTACCAAATACCAAATCTATTTTGTATACAAACATTTTACGCGGTCGCTAGCGATAACTGTCATTGTAATCTCATGGTGGAAGCCACTGATATACAATCACGTTTTTAAAGAAAATGCGATAGTTATATGGAACAAAATGTTCATTTTGTAAGTGAATTTCCATATCAAAGTAGATATATTTATTATAGTTAATCGAGATAAGTCACAAATCAACCTACCTTGCCAGACAGGAAAAAAGAATTGTTATCATAATTATTAAATATACTTATATGTTTTTAAATCTATCTTTTAAATTTATCTATTGTTACCTAAGCTTATTTGAATCACGTTACACAATTTGAATTTAATTATTGCTTTATTATCATTCGATTACGATTGTGTACACAATAAACAATTGATACAAAATACACGCTGCGTTTTAATAACCCGGAGAAGATTTTGACGCATTCATTGTCATATATGCGCGTTATGCCCAGTGTGTTTTTGTCCCTATAACCAAACACCTTATAAATTATTTTGTAGTACAACTCGTAAACGATGGAATTACAAAATACAATACAGTTATTTAGCCTTATCTCTAAATGGTATATATGAAAGTCATTGGTGCTTCGAACGTATTTCCTGATGTAATGTGATTTTGTCTTTCAAACTACCTATAAGTCAAATTCAAATAGGTACCTATCAAACTAGTCTACCAAATTAGGCAGAAATGCGCATATTAGATAAGATAGTACATAAGAATTTACTTTCTAGACTAATACCAAATAGCCAGTTAAACGAGTATATCAATTGCTACTAAATAAAAGTTCACAAATGTACGTAACTTGGAAATTAAACGATATACATACCGCCATAAGAATACGAATCGTCGGCCTCTCAAATTGAGAAACAACCGGTTTCCCGCTAGGATATCACCACCGCAAGTATACATGGTTGTCGACAATAAAAAGGCTTGATTCGAAAATATTTTTTTATTTATTATACATTAGCAAAACAGCACAAACATTAAAATACGACCTATAAAATCACATTTCATACACAATATTTATTTAGACAGAACCAATGAACATTTATAAATCAATACTTAAATAAATCATAATTATCTATTATAAATTCAAATAAAATAAATAATAAAATCATATAATGGTTCACAAATATTGTTACTTCAATGATTTCATTGTATGTGGTATTGAATTTATGTCAAGCCTAATTTTTACCCTATTATTCCAATAACACAAATTACATGCGAATTCTGAAATTCTGATAAAGCACTAATAATGTTCACTGACTCATTTACAATTTAATGGAGACAGTAGATGAATATCTAAACTAATATAAAATTATCTATTTACAAAGAATGATCTTACAAGTGAAGTCCTGCTTCCAACCAGTGTAAAAAATATACTATCACTTGATTAATAAGGCACTTCAGTGAATTGACAATGTTTGTTTTTCTAACTTACAACAATGTACATTTTTTCAAGCCAAATTGCCCTTTCAAAGTCATACTGGAAAATTCACTGTACAATGCACACGCAGTAAGTTTGGCAATAACCAATACTGTTTCAAATACTGAAGTCATTAAATTAAATTATACTACATTCAATATATGTAGGTACATACAACCATACATCCACCAAAAACAATCTAAAGAATATTTCACTATATCAAATCAAATGCTACATGCAAAATTGGCTTTAGCCAATTCTCACTGTAATTGTTCACAATCATACGCAATACCTCTTAAAATTTTTAATACATAATATTCTCTACTAAATATAATATTGTAAATAATAAGTCACTTTTAAAATAGCAACTCCCATTGTATAGTACAGAGTTTAGAAGATTAACTTCAACAGTTTGACTAGTTGAGCTTAACATCCTTTAAATAAACCACCCCTGTTTTCATTATTGAGTACATTTCTTTCGAGAGGCCTATGTCCAGCAATGGACTATTGAAGGCCGTTAGCACACACAACATATGACAGCCCACAGACTCCCAAGTTATATCTAGTTTTATAAATTAAATGACACACAATATGAAATTACCTTATGACATGGAACAACTATCATGAATAAATTATTTTAAATACAACGCTGATAGGTGGACGGATACCTAAGATGCCTTTGATTTGTAACATAATGTTAACAACCTTTAATTTTAATCAAGAAGCAGCTGTATATCAAACATTTGCTCTAACTCTGACCTATTGAAATCAGGGGCAATGATGAATGGGCACAGATAGAATGACAGTTCTTTCAGGTTTGGTGCGCTTGTTTTGATAGCTCTAGCTACCTGCATCGTAACATGTAAGCATCTTGATAAACTCAGGTAGGTCAAATGATGAAATGTGTTATTAGAAAAATATGCAAGCAAAGCTGTTGTCGAGAAATATCCGTGACGCAACTTTAATGACTGCAAATTCTTGAGTCTGTACAAATGCAGCAAACTGGAGTCAAACAGTGTCTTACAGGTCATTATGTGCAGAACTTGTAGCATTCTGCAGGTGGATATATAGCGCATTATGTCATCATTCAATGTATCTCCATATATGTGCAGTGCTCTTAAAGTAGCCTGTTTGGTTCGAAGCAATGACTCCAAAAAATCTGCAGGAATATTCTTCATTTTCTCCATATTAATGCTAATCAAATTTGGACATTGTAGCATACTATACAAACTGTTGTGGGTTAAAGCAAAATTTGAGAGTATTAGCGTTTCAAGATACTTTAATCTTTCAAATGGCAAGTGATATACAAAATTCCCATTAGAGTTTTCTGGATTTTGTACTATAAGTGAGTTCCGGAAACTTAAAAATTTCAAATTAGGCCAATGCACCAGATCATCAAATATACAGCTGTCCACTTGTGAAATACTTATTTCTAGATGAGTCAAATTAGGACAATAGCTTATTAAGGAAGCCCTGACTTGTGAATACAACTTGAAATACTGCAATTTAACATTTTTTAAGTACGTGGCTACAAAAGGCACAATGTTCTCACTAATCCTCATATAGTTTTTCATACAGACTATGAGGCGGGTATTATCCCAGACGCACGGGGTTAGGCAGAGCTGTTGCCATCGGGTACAGACTTTAGCCACAGCTAGGAGAGACTCAAAATCTATCATGGAAAATATATAGATGAGTATTTCATTAGGCAGGTCGTTAATGGTCAATGTGTTTGAAGCACTGGTCATCTCGAGATGCACCATCCTGCACAGCCACACCCCGCAGCAGCGCACTCCTGTAAAATTGTTATTTGGCACTTAGCACTGTCAAGCACAAGTCTAACTCTACACAATTAATATGTCTCAATGAATCAGAAATTATGCCGTTACTAAATAGGACAAAGCGTTTAATTAACATAGGTAGTAAGGTCGTAAACCTTGAATTACTGTTACATGTGTACATCCACTGGACTCCTTGTTATCAACCGTGTTACAATTATTAGCATATCAAGCGTCATACCTTTGATTTACTTTGCTTCCTACTCGAGAAAATTTTACTGTTTGCTTTAGTAAAATCATAATTTATGTAAACTCTGTTTCTAAATATAGACACGACATCAACAACATACAAAATACTTCAAAAAGTAATAGTCTTGGTTTCGGATAATTTTTTGCATTCTAACTAGTGCACAATACAATTAATTTCAATTTTGTTGTTACAGAATTAATTAAAAATAACTTTCATTTTTGGATGCTATTTTCGTGTGACGTTAATGACATTTGACGTTTACATTGGCCTGACAGTTCCTTTATTTTATTTCCATCCTTTAAGCCTGACAGTGACAACCAAACTTGAATTGTTCATGTTCGAGTTGTTCGGCTGATGATTTATTTTATTTTGTTTATTTTTTTTCTGGAGATTTACAGCGAAATTATGATGTGCTGAAATAAAATAAATTATGGAAATTAAACAAATTGTATTATTCTTTATTACATACCTGTATTGTAAACTAAATTGTGGATTTTTATTATTAAATTTATAAATATACGCATATATTTTTACATTATTATACTATATTATCATATTCTTGTTAAATTTTAGTAACAAAACGCTTCATAATTGGATTTCGAGTGAAATCAAAACACTGGTGGCAAATATGTGGCTGCTGGAGGTGGTACAGGACTGGGAGTAAGCGCTGGTGATCCACCGGCACCAGGTGGTAAATAATTGTTTGTAGTAGTGCTTGGGATCGGAGTAGAGCTGGGACTAGGACTCGGGTTAAAAATGGGACTAGGCGTAGGACTCGGGCTAGGGCTTGCGGTAGGACTGAGAGAAGTAGAAGGATTTGGTGGTAAATAATTTGATGTTGGTGGCAGTGGTGGAGCATTCAATCCAGACTGGGAGGGAACCGACAATGGTGGTAAATACGCTTCAGAAGGCGGCGATGGACTTACTGTTGTAGACCCAATATTCACGATCCCACCGACATTGCCACCAATATTACCACCACCACCTAAGGGTGGCAAATATTTTGGTGCGTTAGTAGAAACTCCCGTTGTCCCCACCGTAGTAGTTGTTCCAGCAGTAGTCGACGATTGAGTTGTAGTGCTCGGAGTTCCGTAGTTGTAACCAGTGACTCCAGTAGTTCCCGAAGTTAATCCTGTTTGGGTTTGAAATCCAGTTGTGGAGCTATACCCGGCGCTCGCTCCTGATGTGCTACTTTGCGTGACTGGTGTAACACTGCTTGGTGTTTCGTAGTTGTAGCCAACGCCTGACCCACCACTTCCACCGGGGCCTTGTGTTCCTCCGGCAGTCGCTCCACTACCACCACTACCACCAACATCGGCTCCGTAATTGTAGCCACCTCCCGTTCCAGCAGCAGCGGTAGTTGTCGTGGAGCTCGATGTGAATCCGATGTTGACAGTGCCTCCGCCGCTGGGCGCAGGGTATGCGTAATACATTTGCTGCGCTTGCGTCCTGTCAACAGTGGGTGCTTGAGTGGACACAGTGGGTCTTTGTGTAGATATAGGAGGCCTCGTGGGCAGATCAAAAGAAACTCTTGGCCTTTCATACACATACCCGTCTTGGCGCTTCACCCGAATACGGCTTGAAGTGTAGTCCACCTCCACTGACCTTTCGATCACAGAAGCAGATATAGAAAATACTACAACTAAATAAAAAAGCAGTCTAATATATATCTGATCGTGAGACCCCATTGCAACGAAATATGAATGTCGAATGGTGAAACTTTATAAAAAGACGATCCTCGCTTTGTTTATCTCTATTTATAATAATTTGAAGGAAGTTATCTTAACTTGTTACGAAATAGTTTCATCGTTAGTTCTAGGAAAGCTGTCATCTTCTAACCAAACCACAAGCTCTATTATCATTGTTAAGTACCTAGTACCTCAGCCGCTGTCAAGGTACAAACCCGCAAACTGCGAGTGTTGATTTATAGTTTGGTATTTGATCATAATATGATTGCTAATTCAGCAAAGTGTGTATCAAAAAACTTATGAAGAATATAGTGATTATAACTTTTGAGCGAACGACGACCGTAAGCAATTGGTACAGGAATTTTTATTACTGCGAAAAAAAATTAAAGTTCCTATGCCTATAGGTAAAGTTTTATTGAATGTCAGGATGTTTCATCACCATGATATTTCAATGTTGTTTTTTGTGAAATTACGCCACTAGTTTGTTATAAATATTAATACAAACATCGAACATTTAGAAAAAATCCTTCGATCCGGCTGGATTCGAACCAACGTTTTCTAGCAAACCGTGCCAGTCGCTATGCTAACTAAGCCACGAGACGAACTAACGGATCTTACGAATTTTTCTATATGTGCTTGTTTGCAGATCTTTGTTTTTGGTTTTTACCGCCTTTACTGCCGTTAGTGCTATCTGTGAGAAATCTATTTCTTCACTGACTATTCTTCCTATGCCTATTGCTTACCGTCGTCATTCGCTCAATAGTTGTCACTATCTACGGATGTGAGTACCATACAACACAACAAAATACCAATTGTCATGCCCAAGAAATTGGTTAATGTAAGCAATGGAAACTAATATTATACACATTACTCAACGACATTTATTTCTTCACACTCTGTACAGTCATATACACACGCTAGCACATCAAGCTACACTTTGATGTATCTTGTTCCGTTGCAATAGAGGCGATTTTCGAACAAAAATGTGTAGTCTGATGTGCCGTTGTCCGTACATGAAATACCGACCCCCTAACATGCCCAAATCGACCATTTGGTTCTGAGAGCCATTTTACGTATTGAGCAAAGAAAAGCAAAGCAATTTTAGTTATCGTAATTTATCGTATAAACAATACAGTGGAGTATTGCTTGAAGATGATCAACTCTTTTTTAAAACCACTCGTAAATTTCGTCATTTGACGTCTAAGTAAATTGGTCCAGCGGCTTGTTGTATGGACTGCCAGTTAAAATATCCGTGGTTCGATTCCATGAGCTATTTTGTTTGATCGTTATATATTAAAACAGCATTATTTCACAAGTCAGAATATATGCTCACTAGAAATTGCCTAAGGTGGTTATGGATAGATTAATAAATCAAGAAATCGCTCTGCAGTTTGCATACGATCGTGTCGTCTATGATTCACGCGTTGTTCCACGTTTCGTTCCCATTTATCTATTCAGTTTTAATTACTTTCAAAGTATTCTTTCTTTTTTTAATATGCCACACTTAACGGAATTATTAGAATTAGAAATTATTGTTCTGTACAAATAAGATGTGCCAATTAAAGAAATTGCAAGGCGACTTCATATAGCGGTAAGTAGACTCATTATATTTTTCACAGTGCTGCAGCTGGCTTCAGTTTGCAAAAAGGACCACCCCATCCTTCATTATCCCACGGGTGTTATAAAACATGTTTAACGAATCATTAAAATTAAAAAATATATATAAATCTAGCATTAGGTGAAATTCGAAACTACGAGTATGAGGGTCTATTAAACAGTATTTGAAATTGCTTGTTCACAGAGAAACACTGACAAGCTGTGGATCAATCGCCACAGAGCGACTGGAAATATTAATCAGCCGGGGCTAGCACCGGTAATGTTTACTTCTGCATCTAGTCGTCACCTAGATATTGTCAATCGTTATTATATATATATTGAAGATCCCTTTGCCACTACAAAAGCAATTGCTCAAATTCATGACATAAGGACCAGGAAGAAAAACCTTGTGGTGTCCATGTGGGAGTCAATGCGTGGTGGAGATTTATGCTGATCGATGGTCACAGGCATGAAAGACCGTTTACAACAAGTGATCGATTCTGAAGGCTTTCCTTTGCGGTATTGAAGTGGTAACTGTGTAGTTTTTAATAATAGATATTATAGTTATTATAAGTCATCGCTAGGCAAAAATAATGTAAAGTGTCAGTGATGTTATTGTTATTTTTGTAACATGTCTATTCACTGCACTACCTTATAATTTTGTATAAATGCAGCCTGTAAAACTATAGTTCGTTTCAATTCATTTTGTTTAAAAGATTACCTATATAACATGTTTCAAATAAGATTTTAGCATGTTATTCAAATGAATATTATTGAAAAAAGTAGTGAGATATCACGTTGAAATCTCTAAAAATATGAATACGTAACGTATTCCATTAATTGAATGATTGTTAATTCTTAAACAATTTGAAGTTTCTTTACTTTTCATGAAAAATGTATTGACACTAGCTATCTACTTTAAGTAATAAAATTAATCGAAACTAAATATCGTAAATCGAAACTAATTTCATTTAATTGTTCCAAACTAATTTAATTTAATTTAATATAAATTGTGAAAATTGTGTAGCGAGTTTAAAAAAATACAATAGTTACTGATGCAGACTGTAAGTATTTTAAATATGTTTACTAATTATAATTTAGAAGAAAAAATATTAAAATATTTGTTGAATTACTCAAGGTGACTTTTATTTCATTGACCTAATGTTTGTGGAAGGTGGTTCATTTTGAGAATATAACATTTTTAAACATTCCTTACACCTATCCAAAGGTTAAAAATAAAAAAAATATAACATTGTTTTTAATGTGACTCGAACCATGCTTGCTTCAACTTGCAAAGCAATCCTTATACCGCTAGGCTACGACTTCCTTGCTATATCTGGTTGAAATTTGTGTTCTGTATTTAAGTAAGAACTAAATGTCATTCGTAATGAGACGACTAGGGAGCCATACCTAAATAAATTTTGCGGCTCACAGGTTAAAAATTAAGTTTGTTTAACAATTTTCTCCACATTTTTGTGCTCAGAACCTAAAGGTCGACAAAGTCGGCTTGGGGGGTCAGGTATCTTGTGTATATGACTGTACAACTACTATAACATAGGTAACTACTATTTACAAAAGTCTAAATGCTTTGAACAAAACACAAAACGCCTGATTTCTTTTTCCAGCAATGTAACTAACCCGTAACGGCTTTCTGAGACCGTACAAAATATTAAATAGGTACCTGTACTTATATTCAGTGCCAATTTTAATCGCCCAAAATGAATGTATTGCAAGCCGATTAGTATTGGTTAGTGTTGCTACGAATAGTATTTCGCCTTCAGCCGAATATTCGCCAAATTATTCGGCTTGATTAATGATCTTACGAAAATTGGCGCACAAACCGCATTATAGCAAAGATAGCTATACATACATATATATAAGTTAAATTAAATTAAACCAGTAATGATGCATGATTTCATAAAAAGAAAAAAAAACGAAATTTTATTTTCTAGTTTATAATTCAAATTTATGACACCTTAACGAAGAAAGTAATTGTTTATTTTACTTCAGTTTGATTAACTTTCAAACACTTAATTTTATTTTCATTTGCAAATAATAAGTACTAGGTTGATTTTGTTAGCGTTTGACAAATAAAAAAATCATGACTTTATGACAAAATTACATAATAAGTAGGAAGTATTCATTTGATTTGTTACCTTTTTTTCGATCTCATAGAAGTTACTATTTTGATAATTTACTGTATCTTCTTAGTTCTTCCTCCTTTTTTTAGGTATTCGAATAGTGATTTAATATTCGGTATTCGGCCGAATGCCAAAAAATAGTCCGAATAAGCCGAATACCGAGTTGCAACTCTAGTATTGATGTATGATGATAAATTTATAAAAAATAATAACGGTGTTAGCAGTAAATATAAACTACGGACAATAGGGTCTAGGTCGGTGTTAATGAACCCTAATTGAAAGTTATTAAGGTATTAATGGAAGTACTTCCACATTTTTTAAATAGCAGGATTATAACGTTTATCTATTTATTTGAAATTGACAGTTTGTTCGCTGTTGAATTGTTTTGTGGTTTGATGATCTACGGAAGTAAGTAAATCTTTTAGTAGTTTGCTTGAATGAAACTTTTTGTTACAGTAGAAGCTGTTTATGTAGTAAATAAACGTTATTTTCCAACTTTGTAGCAGATATTGAACGTAAAATATCTTGCAGTGTAGTTTTTGCTGTGTACCTCGTCGTAGGTATAGTAGTAGGTACCTACATGGTCAAGAGCACGTTCAAAAACTTAAATCTTTAATCCAACTCTATGCCGCTTACGATAAGAACAATCCAAAGTACAGTGTTAAGCTTGATGTGCTCTTGACTGTACCTACCATAACTAAATGCCTACTATGGTACTACGACATCGTTGAAATAACTTGAAACATCGACTTCATTAAAAAGTCGGTCGGAAGGACTATCTTTGCTAAAAGTGTTTTTTTTTTATTTTACAGTTGGCAAATTCATTATGCGGTTAATTTAAATTACACCAAGTAAAGTCTAAGGCCGAGACTAGAAATAAAAATTCTTTGCTTATTTACTTGCTCTTTTTGTTATGTCAAGAATTTACTTGGAACGTGTACACTAAACGAGGTCCTTAGTGTTGAATAGTGTCATTGTCGTTGTGTTGTGGCAATCGAGTGAAAGGAGTTTGGGGGCTGCGTGTGCGGTCGCGAATGGTGATAGTATGAACCGGCTGTCAGTTTGAGTTCTCGCTTCATCGGTCGTAAACGTACAAATTGTAATTTTTATTTTATCTAATCGGTATGTATATAGTGCCCTTATCTTAAGAATTATACTAACTTCTTTAACAGTCTTGAAACACATGTTAATTACAAAATTTTTGTAATCACAATAGGAAAGGTTTGTGCTTATTTACATAATTCTAAGTTAATGTAACCAAGT